TGGATCATATGTTCCCTATATGACACGAAAAATTCAAGCATTACGGTCCCTTGTATATAAGATAAATGTAAGGAATAATTTAAAATGACTACTTAAAGAATAAAATTCATACTCAATATAAGATAGGACTTCCTCCGTATTCTCCAAGCCATATAAATGGTTACTTAAAGAATAAAACTTATACTCGATATAAGGTAGGACTTCCCTAACTTATATACCTTCAATCTTCTATCCGCATGCATCCATGACTTATCTATCTCCCACACTATACAATTATATATATAATAAAGTGAAAATACAAGCAATGACAGACAATGGTATTCACATAGCAGAGTATAATTAAAAAAGAGAGAGCAAGTAATACAAGTTTCAGAAGACGGTATTGTCGTGTTATAGTAATACAGACATCGGTATCTCCAACAACCGCCGTCTTTAGGCTACCAAAACCTAGAAAATTGTTCGTGAAAATGCAATACAAATTTCATACGACAGTAGTTATAGGACCACTGACGTATAACGACAATACAAACGATGGTTTGCTCCGATGACCGTTGTCGTAGGTTACAAAAACCCAAAAAATAAATCTCCAATTCCCAGATTCCATTCCCGATTCATAGCTCCCAAAACATATATTAAGAACCCATAGCTACCAAAACAACGAAATCATTAATTGATTTAAGAAGCATGTCAAATTCGATTTGTACTTAAGAACCCATAACGCAATATCATTAAATAAAGTAGGACAAGCATGTGAGATTAGGGTTTGTACTTACAAGTAGACAAAGCTCAAAGAATATCACCAATGCTTTGAGAGGGAGAGCGCAATCTGAAACGACGGAAGATGGCGAGCTGTTGAGACCCAAAAAATCCAAGGCTGGGGCCAAATATATTCCCGACCCAACATGATACCTTACTTAGAAGAAACCAGATTTGGGTACACGAGAGTTCGTCGTACGCGCTTGCACGAGTTATGGTCCACGTGCCACACCAAGCAAATATGTAACTCGTCATGCCAAGAGTTGCAACGAGCCTGTAAAATATACCGGCTCTATGTACCCATGCTTATTATCCCGTTAAATGTCATTTTGACTAGACCATAGCCCTTTACAATATGATAAAACTGTAGCACAAGTACGCCAAACAACATGCAATGCCAAGGACCCTTATTTTGCACCTAGCCACGCTACATGCTTAAGTGGGCCCAAGCCACCCAAATGCCCCCGGCTTTCTGAGCGGGTTGTAGTATGGATGGTTACGATAATTCACAAGGCCCATGGATGAGCCAAGAAGTGGAAGTTTTGGGTTGCTTGAGATCCTCGAAATTCGAGCCCATTTCTTGAACCCAAATATGTGGGTAAACATGAAAGAAAGAAAAGTGGCCCATCACCTCAGTAAATTGACGCATCACCTAAGTAAATTAGCCCATCACCTTAGGAAGTGGCCCAACAACTTAGATAATATCTCAGGAAGCCTCCAGAACATGGCCAAAGGCAAATACAAGACAGACCATCTATAAGTTGTAAATTAGCCCATCACCTTGTATTAAAATATTATATAGTGGCAGAACTTTTAAGTTGTAATTTGAAAAAAATTTATCGAATAAAACATGTACGTATTTTATTCGTATCTCCTTGCGGGTATACCAAATTAATATATACAAAGTATAAACTAATACAACTAGGAGAGTCCTTTTTTATAATAGTAATAGTACAGCCCTGCGGCTATACTCGGTTTTTTCCCATTTTTTTGAAGACAAAGTATAGCCGTCCAGTTATACTCGGTTTTTTTTAATAATATTTCTTTTTAAAGGAAATGGTATAGCCGCGTGGCTATACTCTGCTTATAGAATTTTTATTACAGAAATAGTATGGCCACCTGGCTATACACAATTTTTTACAATTTTTAAAAAGAAATAGTATGGCCGCGAGGCAATACTCGGTTTTTTCCCATTTTTCAAAAAGAAATAGTATAGTTGAGCGGCTATACTCTTTTTTCCCCCCCTTTTTTTTTATCAAAGAAATAGTATAGCCAAGCGGCTATACTCGGGTTTTCCAATTTTTTTAATACACCTATTTTTAACAAAATCTTCAATAATGCACACAAACTTCACGTATTATACTCATAATTATCACATATTATTGAATACAAATAATATATACTAAAAAATTAAATAAATTGTATTGAAATATTATATAGTGGCTGAACTTTGAAGTTGTAATTTGACAAAATTTTACCGAATAAAACACGTACATATTTTATTCTTATAGCCACATGGCTATACCAAATTAATATATATAAAGTATAAACTAATACAATTAGGAGAGTCCTTTGTCATATTTATTTTTATTAAATAGTATAGGCACGCGGCTATACTAAAGTTTATAGTATAGCCGGTCGACTATACTCAGGTTTCTTACTTTTTTTTCAAAAGAAAAAGCAATTGTACAGCCGCCCGGCTATACTTGGGTTTTCCAATTTTTTTTAATACACTATTTTTTACAAAATCTTCAATAATACACACAAAATTCACAGTGTACACATAATTATCACATATTATTGAATACAAATAATATATATTAAATAAATTGTATTAAAATATTATGTTGTGGCAGAACTTTTAAGTTGTAATTTGACAAAATTTTGCCGGATAAAACATGTACATATTTTATTCGTATAGCAGCGCAGCTGTACCAAATTAATATCTATAAAGTATAAACTAATACAACTAGGAGAGTCCTGCTGGGTTATACTCGGTTTTTCCCCATTTTTTAATACACCTAGTTTTTACAAATTCTTCAATAACACACACAAAATTCACATATTATACACATAATTATCACATAAATACAAATAGTATATATTAAAAAACTTTAAAAAGTTGTATTAAAATATTATATAGTGGCTGAACTTTTAAGTTGTAATTTGACAAAATTTTGCCGAATAAAACATGTACGTATTTTCATTCGTATAGCCATGCGAGTATACCAAATTAATATCTATAAGGTATAAATTAATGCAACTAGGAGAGTCCTTTTTTTATAATTTTTTTAATTAATAGTACAAGCTCGTGGCTATACTAAAGTTTTCTTAAAAAAATACTATAGTCGGTCGGCTATACTCAATTTTTCTAATGTTTTCAAAAGAAATAGTATAGCTGCCAGATATACATGATTTTTTCCAATTTTTTAAAGGAAATCGTATAGCCGTGTGTCTATACGCTGTTTATAGAGTTTTTATTAAAGAAATAGTATGGTCGCCTTGGCTATACTTAGTTTATTTTTTTCCAATTTTTTTAAAGAAATAGTATAGCCGAGCGGCTATACTTGGTTTTTTCCCCTTCTTTAAAAATAAATAGTATAGCTGAGTGGCTATACTATTTTTAATTAATTTAATTAGTTCTTAATTTTTAATTATTATTTACTTAGTGAATAATTAATATTTAAATATTTTAGTTAATAAAAAAATTTAAGAAATTAGTAACCATTTATAATATAAATTTTGAAGTTAATTAAAATATTTAATACTGATTATCCATTAAAGAAAGAATAATTAAAACTAATTATTAAAGATGCTAAGTTTATATTTATTTTATAAAAAATCTCTCGCAACGAAATTTCATGTGTACAGGTCTATCCCGTCAACATTTTGCCGGATTAGACTTGACCCGATGATATTTTGTTTGCATAGGTAAATTTCATCGGGCGAGGTCTAATATGGCAAATATTGGCTAGCAAAGATCTTTGTCGACGAAGGTTCGTCGACAAAGGTGTTTTTGCTTGTATTTTTTTATTAAAAAAAATAAATTATTTTATTTTATTTAAAAAATAAATTATTTTATTTTATTTTGTTTTGTTTTTTGGCCAACTTCTTTAATTTAATATATGGTTGGCTTGGATTACTTAGTGTTGCGCACCTAGGAGGGCAGCGCGCTTTGGGATGCGGAGGAGTTATTATCGCCCAGCCCCCTAACCTAATGCGGCACCGGGGTTCGGACCGTAGGGTAGTAGCCATGGCATGGGGGGGGGGGGGGGGGGGGGGGGGGGGGGGGGGGGGGGGGGGGGTCTAGTGCCTTAAGCCTTCTTTGCCTTTGCTAGGCGGACTAATCGTCCCATTCTATTGAGGGATCCCTCAAATAATTTTATTTGAAGGACGCCCTTTAGGGTACCTTATAATTTTTTCCCAATGATCCAAACCATCTATTTTTTAGGTCTTCATTCATAGATCATCCTTACAAAAAATTAGAAAAATTTGAAACCGTTTCGACATCCAATTGTGTTTTACAAAATCAATGAACACGGTGCTTCAAGAAAGTACTAAAATTTCAATAACTCAATTGAGTGGTCAAATGATATCGGATTCATGTGATTTTTTGTAGAGATGATCTTTGAATGAGTATCTACAAAATAGACTGTTTGGATTAGTGAAATAAAATCTGGAGTGGGGCCTACAAGGGGTGTCCCTCAAATAAGCTTATTTGAGGGATCCCTAAATGGAAGCTCTCTGTATGTTATTATGGACTTTTTATTATTATTTCTTTTTATACTAAATTAGTTTGTTTAGTTGAATATTTGCAGTTAAGTAATATCTTAACCGCTTCACATTCGGGGGTCGCTCTCTCGTTCTCTTACGAGGAGAGTTTACGGCGGCTAAGGTTTTCCCAATTCTCTAGGGTTTTATCGGAGTTGGTTTTTTCTCTGTGGTTTTCAAAGGGTTTTTGTCTCTGTTCGGGGCTTGCTATCTTTTGGAAGACAACTGGTGTTATCTTATCACGAGAATGAGGGGTTGTGATTCCGGATTCTCATGTGTTTGATCACTTTGTTGGTTTTACTTATAGCTTGGAAGCCAAGGTTCTCTCCCTTCATGACGTTAATCGAGACCAATTTATTAAGACCTTTTCTGGACTATGGCGGGGTACAGATGGTGTTCGGATTAAGGAAACTGAGACAAATCATTTATGGGTTTGTTTTATTTTGGAACATAATTTGAAGCGGGTTCTTGATATGGAACTGTGGACTTATAGGCATTCTCTTATCGTCTTAAAGTCAGTCACGAAGCATGGTAGTCTCCATACCATGCCGCTTACCCATGGAACATTTTGGGTCCAGCCCCATGGTGTTCCTGGTTTCTATATGACAATGAAAGTGGCAAAAGCTATCGGTGAAACTCTGGGTGAGGTATTCCAGGTGGATAATCGGGATGGTGAGGATTGTGTTTTCGAATCTGTTTTGATGTGAGTCTCCCTTTGATTCAGAGAACACCGGTTACTTTCTCAGAGGTGGGCGAGAAGGTGATTGAATTTCATTATGAATATTTGCCAGAATACTGTTTTGCTTGTGGGGTAATTGGGCATCCCACTCGTCAGTGTGTGAAGAATCATGAAGTAAAGAGTGGAAAACTCACCTCGGATGCACTGAATCGGTTTACAACAGCTTATTTGGGTCTGGAAGGGGAGATAAACTTGCGAGGTAGGCCTATTGCTAGCAGGCCTGTCGCACACTGTCGTGGAATCTTCTAGTACTGCTGCTTATGTTCACCATTCTCGTGGTGATGCCTATTGGTGGCCCAAATTGCCTAGTGATCCAACGAAATTGGGGACTCGCTCTGACCGATCTCCTAGTCTTGAGGTTATTGACTTGGTTGATACGGCATCGTCTCCGTACAGAACTCGCTAGAATAAAGTGGATGTGATTGGTCGTTTCAAGGCATAAAATAAAATCTTCGGTTCGATGGAGTTGGAAATTCAGCATGTAAGTCACGGTTCCTCTTCAGTTTGATGTGATGGTGATCAAAGTGAAAAGATAGCCAGGGAGAGCGTCGATGTTGCGACCATTGTTCTAGGCGACAATGATACTCTAGGGACAATTTATATTTTTGTTAATATGTGTGACGAGCCTAGGGGAGAAGTGGACATCGCTACCAATAATCTAGCAACTACTCTGGGTACGATGCCCTCGGTAGATAGAGTGCTTGTGGGGGAGGACATCCTCATTCTGATCCTTTCCATCTTTTGCCTATCATAAAGTGCACCTCTAGTCTGGGCAAAAAGAGGGGTCGTGGCCGCCCTAAAAAGGGGGACACTTCCCTAAAAAGGCGTACTCAACTACCTAGGGTTAGGTCCGGTTACGTCGTACTAACCCTAGGTCAAGTTATGTGAATATCCAAGCCTAATCAAGTCATAACTCTAGAGTGGGCTTATGGTTGGGGTTCGAGACTTGAGAACGCACGATTATACTCGATTTTTTCCAATTTTTTAAAAGAAATGATATAGTTGCGCGGCTAAACTAGTTTTTCAAAATTTTTAAAAAGAAATAGTATAAATGAGCGGCTATACTAGGTTTTTTTTCCAATTTTTTACACTTTTTTTTTTAATTTACAAATTCTTCAATAATACACACAAAATTCACTTGTTATACATATAATTATCATATACTATTGAATATAAGTAATATATATGAAAAAATTTAAATAAATTATATTAAAATATTATATAGTGGCCGAACTTTTAAGTTGTAATTTGACAAAATTTTACCAAATAAAACATGTACGTATTTTATTCATATAGCTACGCGGGTATTCCAAATTAATATCTATAAAGTATAAACTAATGCAACTAGGAGAGCCCTTTTTTATAATAATTTTTATTATTATTAAATAGTATAGGCGCAGCTATACAAAAGTTTTTTTCTCTGTTTTTTTTATTTTCAAAAGAAATAGTATAGTTGCGAGGTTATACTCATTTTTTTCTAATTTTTTTAAAAATCTTCAATAATACACGGAAAATTCACGTATTATACACATAATTATCACATATTATTGAATACAAATAATATATATTGAAAATTTTAAATAAATTATATTAAAATATTATATAATGGCCGAACTTTTAAGTTGTAATTTGACAAAATTTTGCCAATTAAAACATGTTTGTATTTTATTCATATAGTCGCACATGTATACCAAATTAATATCTATAAAGTATAAACTAATTCAACTAGTAGAGTCCTTTTTTATAATTATTTTATTAAATAGTATAGGCTAGCGGCTATACTAAAGTTTTTTTTTAAAAGTACTATAGCCGGGCGGATATACTCTGTTTTTCTAATTTTTCAAAATAAATAGTATTGCCGCACATCTATACTCTGTTTTTTTTCAATTTTGTAAAAAGAAATAGTATAGCCAAGCGGATATACTCATTTTTTCCAATTTATTTTTATGCACCTATTTTTTACAAAATCTTGAATAATACATACAAAATTCACGTATTTTACATATAATTATTACATATTATTTAATACAAATAACATGTATTGAAAATTTTAAATAAATTGTATTTAAATATTATATAGTGGCCGAAGTTTTAAATTGTAATTTGACAAAATTTTGCTGATCAAAACATGTACGTATTTTATTCATATAGCCGCGCGACTATAAAGTAAACTAATGCAACCAGGGGAGTTCTTTTTTATTAAATAGTATAGGTGCGACTAAAGTTTTTTTTATTTAAAGAATACCATAGTCAGGTAGCTATACTCAGTTTTTTCCATTTTTTTTTTTTGAAGAAATAGAATAGCCGCTCGGCTATACTAGGTTTTTCTCATTTTTTTTTAATACACCTATTTTTAACAAAATCTTCAATAATACACACAAAATTATGTATTATACACATAATTATCACATATTATTGAATTAAAATAATATATATTAAAAATTAAAATATAATATAGTGGCTGAACTTTTTAGTTGTAATTTGACAAAATTTTCCCGAATAATATATGTACCTATTTTATTCGTATAGCCGCGTGGCTATACCAAATTAATATCTATAAAGTATAAACTAATGCAACTCGGAGAGTCCCTTTTTATAATTATTTTTAAATAGTATAGGTGCGTGGCTGTAGTAAAGTTTTTTAAAATAAAATAGTTTAGCCATGCGGAGATACGCAGTTTTTCTAAATTTTTCAAAAAGAAATAGTATAGCCGTGCGACTATACTAGATTTTTTCCAATTTCCCCAGTTGCCACCACTCTTCTCTCCCTTCTTTCTTTCTTTCAAGAACTCACCACCTTGTCAACCTCCAGGCCCAAGCCACTTTCCCCCACCTCAAGGCCTCGATTCCCTAAGTCACAACCACCACCCCACCCCAAATCTCTCTCTCTCTCTCTCTCACACACACACACACACAATCCATACCCACAACCAACTCCCAGCAACATCTTCCCCAACCCAAGAATTCACTGGCCATTTGCCCCATCCCCAACTGCTCCCCCAGGATCTTCCACTCGACTACCCTACCCCATGCCCTTTTTTTTTAATCAACAAAGGTACTCCATTTGTCATCAATGTTGTAAATCAAGAAATGCTCCAAAAAAACTAAACTTGTTCAAATAAAAACAAAGGGATTGCAATCCAGAGTAGAGTTTTGAAATTAATCCATAGCAAAATTGAAAATATCCGATATTGCTTAAGATGAGGTTTCCTTTCCCAATTTCTTTCTAGTTTTTTCTTGATGCTCACTTCTTCAGCTTCATAGAGAACCAAATTCATGTACACATCAAAACCAATGATTCGGCCTTCAATCAAGAGCCAAATCTAAATGTGAGCTTTACTTTTGAAGGAGCCAGAAAATCAAATTAATGGGTTGGGTCATAATCCTCTGAACTTTGGTGCTCACCATGGCTGCGAAATTCAATGGGTTTTGCGTCACAGACAGAGGTTCTAGTAAAAGAGACTTTGAAATCAAAGGACCTCAGTTTGTTTTTCTTTTCTTGTTGGGTGTAGTTTTGCCCTGTGTCACTCACCTACTTTTATCTAATAGGGTTTTCCTTCTTAGGTTCATATAGTTTTGAGGGTATTTGAGTCTATTTAACTGAGTTTTTGGTTATTTTTTGTTGATGCTCTTTTTCGGAGAGGGTCAACTTAGAGAAAAGGGGTTTGCCTTCAGCAGTGGAGAAGGTGTGGACCTTCGGTAAAGGGCTAGCTTGCAGAAGACAAAGTAGGAAAAGCAATCGTTGAGCTTCGGACACCGGTGTGGTGGCCGGCCGAAGGCTCTCTGATACTTAAGTCAGCTAAGAGTAGTAACTTTGGCGGAGTAACAGTAAAAGGTAAGAAAGTAGTTACTGCTTTTTACTAGGGTACTGTTCCCTATTTATAGGGAAGTGGAAGTGGGAGGTTTGTGTAGAATTTCGATGTGGGACTTTGTGCAAATCGTTGTGGTGGTGACACGCGTCATGGAGATTAGGTTCAGTAGTTTGAGAAAGTCGGCAGTCGGGAGCTTCGGCAGGTGTCTGACACCTTAGAAGAGTGTCTTCCTTCGGCAAGGGAGAAGGCGTGGCTGCCTTGGTGTTAGTTGTTTTGAAGCTGGATATGCTCGGTTAATTATGGTGTAAACATTTTTGAAAGTTTTTATAAAAACTATTATTTATGGAAATATGGTGTAAATTTCTGCTGTTTTTGATAAACACTCCAACATTACCCAACCATGAATCGCACACAAGCTCATATAATAATGATGGAGTCCGAGAGCTGTTACATAGTGAACAACATTACCCAACCATGAATACATTATTTATGTCTATGCTAGTGATACTGTAAACTTGATGCAACAATCAGGTTCGTGGGAAGGGGGAAGGAAAGGACATATAAACGAGTGAAGGAACTTGCTAGTTCTGTTAATGGGCAGCTACATTGATAAAGACATAAAATATTGTAAGATTTGTCTATGAATTATGATGGAGGCCAATTAGTTTGAGATGAGCAATAGTTGAGCGTTACATAATTAGGAAGCTTGATAAATTGATCAGTGAATCAGTGATCGCATATGTAACTTAGAGTGGGAGTCAAAGGTAGAGTTGGAGAGGGAAGGAAAATAAATAAAAGCAAAGTCAAAAGGAGTCCCCAAATCTACAGTAGCAGAGAGAGAGTGACACACACACATATGAGAGTGGTGGTGGGTCAGACAGGACAGGAGACAGGGGACGACGAGATACAGCTAGCCTAATTCCACATGTGCCCAGTTGTTTATCTTCACCTCAATTTTTTTTCTTCATTATTTTATATAACTATTAATTACTTTCACATTGGTCAACATTTTTTAATAATTCAACGTTTCTTGTTTATTGCTCTGGTTTTACTATTTTTTTTTTCTTTGTGTAAGTAAATTAATAAAGAAATAGATAAAAGAGAAACAACAATGAAGAAGGTTGTTGAGTTGTGGTTGATATTTTTTTAATCAGAATTAGGAACAGCCATTGGTTAGATCGATGGTTCCAATCTTTACATATTCAGAAGTTCGGAGATCCGTAGATCCTCAATCCAGCTCGCGTATTTTCGTCTTTAATAGTGATCTTTTTCTGTCTTTTTTTTCTTATCCGCCGTCAGTTTTCTTCTTCTGTCCAATTATTTACAGTTACAGCAGCCAGCAAGATCCCTGAGGGAATCGCCTATTGGCCCAGAGTAAATATTACTAAGCAGTTTTCTGTGTTATCTAATTAACGGCAAGCAAGCAAAGAGTTGAGTTTTTAAGCGAGGAGTTGACGCGAGAGAATCGTTACCGTTAGAGAATAGTGTACGAGTTGTGAGTAATAATAACGCAGCAGCAGCAGTTGTGTCGGCGGAGATATTGATAAGACTTTTTTCAATAAGAGGGAAAATTAAGGATGAGAGAGAGAATGTTGTTAACTCAGGAATAAGTTTTCACTACTAGAAGAACTAGAGTGAGTGACTGAGTTCTGACTTGACTTGTTCTGAGTTGGGGTTTAGGTGGTAATTAGGTTTAAGTTAATTTATTAATTTTTTAAATCTGAATTCTGATGTGTGTGAGTGAGTTGAGTTAAAAAGGAAACAGATGGCTTGTACTTGATCATCTGTGAGCTGATCGGCGTATATTAATATGTCTTGGTAACCAAAACAAAAATTACCGAGCAAGGGAAGTTAAACGAATTTGAGCGAGATGAGTGAGAAGCAAAGAATGATAAGAGAGAGAAAAGCCAGAAGAGGAGGACGAGGAGCAGCAGCAGCAGCAAATCTTCCTTGATATTTCCAAACTGAGTGTGAGAGAGAGATAGCTAAAGAAATTGTAGCAACGCGGTCGGTGGGCATAGTTGCAGATGTGGGAGTAGCTAGCAGCTACAATAAACAAGGATAAGACGGGAGATCGATCTCTAGTTATCTGAATTCTGAAATGGAGGCGAGTGCTGGTTTAGTTGCCGGCTCTCACAACCGGAATGAGCTTGTCGTCATCCCCCTTGAACGTGATGGGGAATCTGCTGTAATGCTCTTTAATTTGCTAACTCTTCCTTCCAACTCTTCATTGCTTTCTTAATTATCTATGTTTACATTTTGGTTGGTAATTTGTGGCTGCTGCGGCTGCTGCTCTTTGTGTTGTTAATTAGTTGATTAATATAGACTGTGTATCAATTGTGAATGAATGAATGAATCTAGTGTAACTGTTGATGTGTTGGTTTTGTAGCCAAAAGCATTGCAGGGGCAGATTTGCCAGATTTGTGGAGATGATGTAGGCCTGACTGCAGATGGGGAGCTGTTCGTGGCCTGTAATGAGTGTGCCTTTCCCATTTGCCGCACTTGCTATGAGTACGAGCGCTGCGAGGGAAGCCAAGTCTGTCCTCAGTGCAAGACCCGCTTCAAACGTCTTAAGGGTAACCACTCTAACTAATTATACTAATTTACTACTACTACTGCTACTATCTCATAGTTATTGTAAATTTTAATACTACTACTGAATATAATTGAATATTTCATAGCAATCAATCAGTTAATAATATTGGAGTTTTTATGGGTGCCAGGGTGTGCCAGGGTGCAGGGTGATGAAGAAGAAGATGGTGTGGATGACTTGGAGCACGAATTCAGTTTTGATGCAACAAGGAGCAGACATGGTATGCAGCAGGCGCTTGCCGCAGACGCAATGCTTCACGGCTACATGAGCTATGGCCGTGCCTCTGACTCTGATTTCCCTCAAGTCCTTCATCCCATGCCCCAACTTCCCCTCCTTACAAATGGTCAAATGGTACTTTCACATTCAATTCAATTCTCACTCAATTGAACAAGATTGCTTTCCTAACTCATCGTTTCCGTTCTTTCCTTCTTCCATGCTTTGCTTGTTGCTTTAATCATGCTTGTGAGTTGTTGGCGCAGGTTGATATCCCTCCTGAACAACATGCTTTGGTCCCTTCTTTCATGGGAACTACTGCCAGAGGCAAAAGGATCCACCCTCTTCCTTTCTCAGATCCTGCCTTTCCAGGTAACCATCTCACCCAGCAGTCTTGCCTTCCTTCACATACTCCAAATCCAATTCTTCTTAGCTACCTGCCCTCTTTATGTTAACTTGAATTTTTGGCATCTATCCTTTTTGCAGTACAAGCCAGATCCATGGATCCTTCCAAAGACCTCGCTGCTTATGGCTATGGTAGTGTTGCTTGGAAGGAAAGGATGGAGAGTTGGAAGCAAAAGCAAGAGAAATTACAGATGATGAAACATGAAAATGGTGGCAAAGATTGGGACTGTGATGGGGATGGGAATGGCCCTGATCTACCACTGTAAGTGCTCCTCTGCAGTTTTGCTCCTTTTTTCTGAGGTTGTGAATTGTGTTTAGTCATTGTAGGGAAATTTCTCTACATACACCCCTAATGAATGCATATTCAAATACAGAGTGAGAGCTAATATGATTTAAATTTAAAATTAGCCCAATTTCTCTCCTCTAAAGTTAGTTATTAATATTCCCATTTCCTATACCATAATGCTTGAAATATGCAAGGATTGCTGATCACTGGAAATTATTTGTGTCACTCATGGGTCAGAATGGATGAGGCAAGACAGCCCTTGTCAAGAAAATTGCCAATTCCATCGAGCCAAATCAATCCTTACCGAATGATCATCATGATTCGACTTGTTGCTCTTGGATTCTTCTTTCATTATCGGGTCATGCATCCTGTGAATGATGCATATGCGTTGTGGCTCATCTCAGTAATTTGTGAGATTTGGTTTGCTGTTTCATGGATTCTTGATCAGTTCCCAAAGTGGCTTCCCATTGACAGGGAAACTTATCTGGACAGATTGTCCCTGAGGCAAGTAATCTGAATACAACTTTCCTTTTGGTCTGCATTTGAGCGCATTTACAGTTCATGCTAATTCTCCATTTTTCAGGTATGAGAAGGAAGGCCAGCCTTCACAACTTTGCCCAGTTGATATTTATGTAAGTACAGTTGATCCGTTGAAGGAGCCTCCTTTGGTGACTGCAAACACTGTTCTTTCCATTCTTGCAGTGGACTACCCTGTCGACAAGGTCTCATGTTATGTTTCAGATGATGGTGCTGCTATGCTGACATTTGAGGCACTGTCTGAAACATCTGAGTTTGCTAAAAAGTGGGTCCCTTTCTGTAAGAAGTTTAGCATAGAACCACGGGCACCTGAATGGTATTTTGCACAAAAGATAGATTATCTTAAAGATAAGGTGCTTCCATCATTTGTGAAGGAACGGAGAGCAATGAAGGTAGGGAGGGTTACTACCAGTTGATATTTCCTTCTTACTTATTGCAGAAAATATTAGTAAATATTCTGCTTACTATTGTTGCAGAGAGAATATGAAGAGTTTAAAGTTCAAATCAATGCTTTGGTTGCTAAAGCTCAGAAGGTTCCAGAAGAAGGATGGACGATGCAAGATGGAACTCCGTGGCCTGGAAATAATGTTCGTGATCATCCTGGGATGATTCAGGTTTGTGACATGAGAATTTGATGTTGTATTGTACACATATAATTCCCGTGCATTTTGGCATAAACCAGTTTATATGCACCTTCTTAGGTTTTTCTTGGCCAAAGTGGAGGACATGACACAGATGGGAAAGAATTACCACGCCTGGTATATGTTTCTAGAGAAAAGAGACCTGGGTTTAACCACCACAAAAAGGCAGGAGCAATGAATGCTTTGGTAGGTTAAATTGAAAAAGGGAGAGAGAGAGAGAGAGAGTTCTTTGGAAATCCATATTCTTAGCGGTTGATAAAATTTTGTGTATTTGTTGTCTCTCTCTTCTTTTTCCTTTGGGAGTTACATTTTCTTGTCATCTTGTATGTCAAACAGGTGAGAGTCTCAGCTGTTCTTACGAATGCACCTTACTTGTTGAACTTGGATTGTGATCACTACATCAATAATAGTAAAGCTCTTAGAGAGTCAATGTGTTTCATGATGGATCTGTTGGTAGGAAAGAGAGTGTGCTATGTCCAGTTCCCACAGAGATTTGATGGTATCGACAGGCATGACCGATATGCCAACCGAAATACGGTGTTCTTCGATGTATGCTTCTATATCCAGTGAGACATCTTTGTTTCTTTTTCCATTTATTTGTGTTCTATTTCAAATTTAACATGTAAGTCATCATCAATAACAGATTAACATGAAAGGCTTGGATGGGATCCAAGGGCCTATCTATGTCGGGACTGGATGTGTCTTCAGAAGGCAGGCTCTCTATGGTTATGATGCTCCAAAAACAAAGAAGCCACCAACCAGGACGTGCAACTGCTTGCCAAAATGGTGCTGTTGTGGATGCTTTTGTTCTGGAAAGAGGAAGAAGAAGGCCAACAAACCTAAGACTGATATGAAGAAAAGGAATTCCAGGAAGGGAGATACAGAGGCTCTGGCACCTGTCTGTGCTCTGGAGGGTATCGAAGAGGGCATTGAAGGTAAACCCTTGCCTTCCATAAAATTGGTCTCAATCTAGCTGCCCTAACTTATGCCAGGCAGGTGATAGAGATAGGTAGATGTATGTTTGCTACCTTTGCAGAGATAGGTCTTTTTATAAATGGTAAATACACCAAATTGTTCCTTGTTTCCCAGCAAACTTCTTTGCCTTTTGACTTCAGAAGTCCTTGTCAGGTGTTGAAGTTAAAAATTTGACTCTGATGTCTGAGGAGAAGTTGGAAAAGAAGTTTGGGCAGTCTTCTGTGTTTGTGGCATCCACCTTGCTAGAGGATGGAGGGACACTGAAAAGCACCAGCCCAGCATCTCTGCTTAAAGAAGCCATCCATGTCATTAGCTGTGGCTATGAAGATAAAACTGAATGGGGAAAGGAGGTAAGATGGTGATCCCATTCCTGTGCTTATGTCTTGGTATAAGTTTTTTGCTTGCTCAATTAAACTTTCCTTCCAATCCAGGTTGGCTGGATATATGGTTCAGTTACAGAGGATATCCTAACAGGCTTTAAAATGCATTGCCATGGGTGGCGATCCATATATTGTATCCCCGCAAGGCCTGCATTTAAAGGGTCTGCTCCCATTAATCTGTCTGATCGTTTGCACCAAGTCCTTCGGTGGGCCCTTGGATCAATCGAAATATTCTTGAGCAGGCATTGCCCTCTTTGGTACGGGTATGGAGGGGGTTTGAAGTGGTTGGAACGTCTGTCTTACATAAATGCTACTGTGTATCCATGGACATCCATTCCACTTCTTGCTTATTGCACTCTACCTGCTGTATGTCTGCTAACAGGCAAATTTATCACTCCAGAGGTACATAAAATTTGATGGAGAGTAGTGACTTGCTCTACTTTATGACTTACTTAGCACATGATAGGTATCTAAGATTATTTTTCAGACATTAATTTATATTTTTTACTGCAGCTGAGCAATGTTGCTAGCTTGTGGTTTCTGTCTCTTTTCATTTGCATCTTTACAACAAGCATATTGGAAATGAGATGGAGTGGCGTTGGCATTGATGAGTGGTGGAGAAATGAGCAGTTTTGGGTGATTGGAGGGGTGTCAGCGCATTTGTTTGCTGTGTTTCAAGGGCTTTTAAAGGTTTTAGCTGGTGTTGATACAAACTTTACTGTGACATCAAAAGCAGGGGACGACGCAGATTTCTCGGAGCTTTATGCATTTAAGTGGACGACATTGCTCATCCCACCAACCACACTGCTCATAATAAACTTGATAGGAGTAGTCGCTGGAGTCTCCAATGCTATAAACAATGGGTATGAGTCATGGGGGCCTCTGTTTGGTAAGCTCTTCTTTGCCTTCTGGGTGATTGTTCACCTCTATCCTTTTCTCAAGGGTCTGCTTGGTAGGCAGAACAGAACTCCTACAATCATTATTGTGTGGTCAATACTGCTGGCTTCCATCTTCTCCCTTTTATGGGTTCGGGTTGATCCATTCTTGGCCAAGTCTGATGGCCCGGTCCTGGAGGAATGTGGATTGGACTGCCAATAACACCACATATTGTGTGCCATTCATATACAATCCTTGTGCAACTGGCTGGCGTATGATACAAACAAATTATAAAGTTTTGTTATGTGCGTTTGAGTGAATGTGATCAGTGTTCAGTGTTCAATGACAGACGGGTCTGCAAGCTGTATTAAATACATGTATGGCACGGCACGGCACGGATCTCTTTCGAACAGCTCCTTCCCTTCTCTTGTGTTCGGTTATTGGTTTTGGTTTGGGAAATTCTAAATATCAAGTCCAACTCTGATCCGAGCTGGTGTCTGGCTGGCTGCTGTCTGTAAACTTCATAGGGTGGTGGTGGGAGATTGTTCCTCCGATTCTTTATTGAATCCAGTTCATAAATCGTGTCCGGAAAGATGAGGTAGGTTGTTGAACCAGAACAAGACCACACTGCGTTTGTGTATTATTCTTGTTATTTGTCACCAGTCTCTGTATCTCTCAATATTCGATTCACAATAACAGCAGGCCACGCCGTGCTGCATGCAAGTTGTAACTATAAAAGCAATTTTGCGGAACGATACAAAATGTTGGGGCTCATTGTTTGTGGAACGATATCCATTTAGGCCACGTTTGGTAATTAGTATTGGATTGGATACTCCTTATATTTGAAGCACGTTTAAGGAAGAAATGAAATTTCTTTTGGTCAAGTTCAAGGTAGAAGATGGATTACTCATGAAGAAAACTTATCCTATCTAATCCCCACAAAATAGTAGGATAACAACACCTTATTACTAATTCCTCCCAATTGCCCCCAACATGGAAAGTCATTTATCTCTACCTTCATTTTCCTCCTTCAATATATACCCGGGCAAAACCTAGAGCCCCCCTTTTCTTCTCAGCGCTGCAGGCTTCCATTGGGGGAGGAGGAGGTCTATCCCTCTTCTCCCTCCCCTCAACCCCCCACCCCCCGTCTCCTTTGTTTCTGCCAATTCTCAACCTCCCCTGCCTTAGATTCTTTTGTGGGGCTGGTCTTATTTTGTGTTTGAGCTTGTTTGGCTGTGTTGGTGGCTGTCTCTAAGAGTTGGTAGCTGTCTTTGAGAATTGGTGGCTGTCTTTGAGAGTTGATTGCTTTTCCTGGTGATTGCTTGGGCCTTGTGCTCTAGGCTGAGATTATATGTCTCAAGCCGATTTTGTGTCCTCCTTTCTTTGCCAAACACCCCCTTCAACCAGATTTACTTCTCCCACAACATCCCCTCCTACTCTTGCCTTCTACTTTTTCCAGATCTGGTTTCTCCATTGGGATATACCAACTACTTCTCTAAGCGCTTTGTCGCATCATTATCGGATTGTATATAGAGCTCTTGCTACGGTTCTAGCTTTGGTGCTTGCACCAATACTCTCCACTCCCTTGATTTCAATCATTTGGTATATACCATGCATGTGTTGTGATTGGTTGTTGTTTTTTTCTTGGTGCACAAGTAGACTCGGGTGTGAAGTAGAAGTGACTCTTGGAGGAATGTTCTTGTGCTAATGTGTTTCTGTTTTTTTGGGAAATTTTGTTCTTGGTGTAAGATCCGTGGGTCTCTATGTGCAACTATGCTGACTTATGTGGAGGATGTGAATCCCCTCCTTTGTGGCTATATTGGTGCGGTAGGTGCGTTCTTTGGTCCCTTTGTGGCGACCGTGACTTGGTTTTGTATTTTGTTTTGATTTTTTGTGGGGAAGATTTGTTATACTAGATTGTTATGGTTCTTGGTTTAATCTTCCCTGTGTTTGTGGTACTTTGTTTCTGCATTGGCATTTTCGGCCTTATATTCTCTGTTTGTTTCCTTCCCATTTTTGGAGTTTTAATGAACTTTGATTGACCAAAAAAATATATATACCTTAGATTTAGTACTTATCCAATCCAATTCAATCCTAGGCACCAAACTAGGCCTTACATCTCTGCCTTTACATTCTCTGCATTTACATCTCCCACGAAGACATCAAATTGATTTTAATTAGTTAACCTAATCCGATTATGACTATGTTTATGGATTTCCTTTTTATGACTCAACTAAACTAACAAGCAAAACAAAGAACGATTAAACAAGCAAAGCAAAGTACAAAAAATGGGGTGGTGGGGGTGGGCATATGCCTTAATGGTTTTCAATTGGTCTAAGGGTGAAACCAGAAATTTTTCAACGGATAGAGTAGCTAAAGTTATTAGTTTAAAATTTAATGATTATTTTTTTGGTACTTACAATTTCTATAGTCATTCTAGAAATAAAAGTAAACATTAAATCATATAAACCACGTTAGTTCATAGCTCCATAGACTAATTTTCAATAAGCTTTAACATAAACCAAATAGGGTTTAACACCATAGTGGCTTTGTACTTGTTTATGTTCATTTTGGTCCATCAACTAAATTTTTCATTTCAATGGTCCTTCAACTCTTCATTTGGTATCAAAACGGTCATACTATAAAAGTGTGTCAATTTTATTGTTAAATTGAGGGGTAAAAATGTCTCTATGAATTAAAATGGTAATATATATTAAAAATTAAAGGAAACTGCTATAAAACTAATAAAATTTTTAAAAATTGAATCTCACCAGCCACATTTTTTTTTTTTTTTTTTTTTTTTTTTTTTTTTTCCATGATTGACCTAACAATGAATATAAATAAAATAAAAATTCTCTATTGTTTAAATTAATTAAAAAATTTAAAATCACATAAATATAAAAATAAAATAACAATTTTTTTAAAAGAGTAAACAAACCCATATTTATACAAAAACACTACCTCGCATCCCAACTCCGCAACCTCCCCCCTCTTAGCCTCCCCCCAAACACCCCTATGGTTTTTCTCCCTCACGACCTAACCACCTCATCCCCACCCGCAACCCACAGCCCCAAGCCCAAGCCCCAATATTTTAATTTGGGCAAAAAATTGAGGAAATGATATCGCCCAAAACTCAAGAGAGAGGGACGCTGAACACACTCTACTTCTTTGATATGGTTTTCATCCAAGCTATCCCCAAAGCACATCAAAACCAGCAAGCAAAATGTGGCGTATTGCAAATGCTTGACCACTCTGATGCATATTGTAAAAGCCACCCCCTTAGGATGTTGAGAACCCATTTGCAGACCCCACCAGGTGAGGTTGTGGCTGAGGAGGTGCCACATGGGGCCGTAGACGGTAGAGTCATGTTGTGTTGGTTGCTGATTATGTTATAGTGGAGGAGAAAAAAAAATAGAGGGGAGGTTGGGGAAGGGGGTGGAAGGGGAGAGCAGAGAGCTCAGGGTTTACTTTATTAATATTTTAGTTTATATGGACAGTTTTACCCCTCAATTTAACAATAAAATTGACAAACTTTGACGGTATGATCGTTTTGATACCAAATGAAGAGTTGTAGGACCATTGAAATGAAAAATTTAGTTGATGGACCAAAATGATATTGGAGCAATAGTTAGGACCATTTCGGTCAATAACCCTATCAATAAAATACTATCGCTATTTATCAAAAACAAAAAATAAATACATATTAAATGCAACTGAAAAACACATATGATCAAAATGAAAATATGTTCAATAACATAACTGAAAGTGAACCTATTTGAATGTGTATTTTTATTGCTGCCCTCCAACTAAATTTATTATTAAAAAAAAAAATTGGACTTTTTATATTTTTTCCTTAAAAAACCACACTGGGCTGTAGCCCTTAGTGTGGTTCCACCCATGAATTGGCCTAATTTTTTTTCTTGGCAGGAAGATTTATGAATGAAGACTTGAAAAATAGATTGTTTAAATCTTCGAATTAAAATTCATAGTATATAAGGTGCCCCTCAAATAAAATAGTTGTGTTTATGCTATTCCCATTGTAGCTGTGAATAGCCCCTCAAAAAATTTGGTAAAAAAAATAAAAACAAGGTTGGCAAATAAAATCAAAATAAATGTAACTATAGTGATTTATGATGAACCTTTAGGATTTGAAGAAGAGTCCCAAGGTGTTTGGAGTTACAAGGTGCCCTTAAACCTTGAGAAATTATAGAGTAGTACGGTATCGCCACGTTAGCTGGTGATACTTCCACTCAAAATATGTCATGTGTTATTTTAGAAAGTAAATAATTATTCTTTTTATATGTGACACCCCAACCCAATTTTAACAATTTATTTACTATATTTAATTTATTTAATTATGAAATTACAGTTTTGCCCTTGGAGTAAGGTGAAGATAGTCACTTTTTGATCCTTGGAGTAGATATCATTGATACAAGTTCGTAGACACGTAGTGGGCTCAAATTGGAATTTTAACAAAGAAGTTACGATCAACGAAAGTGCAGTGGCACAACGATCCAAAGTCAGATTTTAAAAACCCAGCAGCTTCTCTTTCTCTCTCGACTCTCTTTCTAGTGCGACACCATAGGTTTCAAAGGCTATTTCGGCGTTGACCGGCCACCAAATTCGACGCTGTAACTTGTGTCCTCTCCACCTCCTCTACATAACCTACTGAATTTCCAGACCCGATTTCAAGTCGTGAAGTGACTGAAACAAGGGAAAAAATTGTGATTTTTCCGTCGCCATTTTCGGCGATTCCAGCAACGAAATCTGACGAGTGAGGTATGCTTCTTTATCCATTTTTCGTGTTCTAGCTATTTTGATAGTTGGTTTGGATTGATTTGGAGTCGTGAGTGTTTGATTAGAAACCTAGATTTTGTCCGACTTTGGTAGTGTTTTCCAGCCACTTCCTGGCCAAATTGGAGGTCGGCCTAGTTATAAAAGTTTCTTGCCCAGTTACCTTGATCACGTAGGTATAGATATTGTTGGGTGATCATTTGAGAAATTTCTGTTGCCAAAAATTTCTCAAGCCACCCACGCGCTGCCAGCTCTTGTGGCGGCACATGGGCCCTGGGGTGGTGGCCCATTTTGTTTTTAAAATGTTTCCCATGCCGTCTTGAGCATGACGATATAATCAGATTTGAATTTGGTTATCATTTGGTAGTCAATCGGATTTACGCATATTAGGCGATATTCGAGTTCGATATGTTCAGATTGTTGGATCGCCTCCATTTCCAAATATGTTGATTTAGGTACCTCTAGGATCGTGTAGGAACTTATGGATTGAGAATTGGAGTCCCGAATACTCCAAATCAATGATTCAAAGACTACGTAAAACGGTGATCGTCTGATCGTGCGATCGAGAGCGATTCGATTGCTCGATTTAGACCAAACTTGCAGAACATGTTTTGTAAATTTTGTTGAACTTGTAGGAACTTTCGGATCAGAAATCGGAAGTCGTAGCCCCACGGGCCTCGTTGACCATTATGGGAAGTTTGACCCCTCAGTTGAATTTGAGTCTTCCGACGTAGTTTCACCCTTCGAAAAGTACTAGAATAACCTTGTAAACGAGTCTTGATTGTTATTTGAGTTATTTTGATTATGTTGGGATTATGAGATTTTTTTATAGTATTTTATGGTTATTATTAAAGTATATGGATTGGGTGAAATTGGGTTGTTTATGAAAGTCTATTGTTTTAATTGTGCAATATAGTATTTTATGAAAATTTATGCGTTTGTGAGTTTATTTTCTTTTATGAATAGATAATTGGTACATTGAAATTTTGAGAATTTGGGAAAAAATTGAATTAAGGGAGGGTATATTATATATATATATATATGGGTTGTGAATCTCACTATCATACGTACCTTTCTTGTTTATTATACCCACATGTGGTGTTGGATTTCCCGGCATGTGGGCTTACTTGGTTGTTAGTACTTTATCACAAGTGGCGTTGAATTTTTCGGCGTGTGGTAAAGTAGTCTGCATGCATGTAGAACATGGTTTGGTTGGGCCACATGTGGCGTTGGATTTTCCGGCTTGTGTGCTCACTTGGATATTGGTGACTTTACCACACGTGACGTTGGATTTTTCGGCGTGTGGTAAAGGATCCGAACACTTTGGTTACTGTTACTTTACTACACGTAGTGTTAGACTCTCCGACGTGTTGTAAAGTAACAGGGAGAGGGAAAATGATTATTATACTATATTGGGAAAAAAGATTAATGTTTAAAGGAGTTATGCTTAGCATATGTGAATTGTTATAGGGAAAAGGGTTGTTGAGTTATGAGTCTCAAGAACGGAGTGAGTAAAGAAAAATGGGTTTGTGTTCATGGGCTGAGATATTGTGATTTTATTTAAAAAGGGAAAAGATAATTCTAGAATTAACTTGTTGGTATTACTCAAAATAATTGTATATTATCTGGTTCGTGATTATTGATTTAAGAACTATGTGTGGCTTGATCCCTCAATAAGGGTACGTAGGTGGCCTGGGGTCTCACCCAGGTGCAGCCGCGAGATAAACTATATTTTTGGAACTCTAATTTGGTCATTGGGATCAAATCCTATTTATTAGATTTGTTGAGTTTGGTTTTGAAATTGTTGGTGGCCTAAAGCCCGATTGAAACTTAGGCGAGATTAAATGCCTGCGTATATTCCAGTTTTTACTGAAGGGATGTGGTTAAAATGTGTTTGTGGTTGTGACAGGGCTGAAACTCGTTTTAGATTGATGAATGATTGTGGATTGAGTCTTTACAACTATTTATGATTGTGCTTGGATGGTAGACTATGCATGTTGAAGTTTGAGAATTTTTTTAAACTACAATTTTATTTTTACATGTGAAAATAATTGGGCAAATGTCTGTTTTTCAAGGGAGACTCTGCCGAAATTTTGGCAGAAAGTCTTGATCCTCTTTTCCTTTGTTTTGGAGAAGAAGATAAAGTTAGTAAGTGGGCCCGACATCGGGTGGATGTCGGAAAAACCACAGGATTCATCATGGATTCCTAGGAATTTGGAGCGGGTCCTATCATTATAATTGAACTTTATTCATATATCCATTGAAATAAAATTAGAAAAAAAAAAGACAAAAAAATGTCCCACCAACCTAACACAACCCAACGCCTACCCCTAACGCCGCCCCTCTGTCTTCTTCTTTCTTTGCTTGCCATGAACCGTCATTGGTCACAAGTAAGCCAAATCCCCATAGCCCAATAAATTTCCTATTGGTCAATTTGTAGCTTTTTTGTGATACACCCATCTCTTATTCAAGGACGGAATCATGAATTTTTCAATGGGTGGGCTAATTAAAGTTATTATCTTAAAATCTTATAAATCTTTTTTTTACTTCCAGTTTCTATAGTCTTTCTAGAAATAAAAGTATACATCAAATCATATAAATCACGCTAGTTCATAATTTCATTGACTAATTTAAAATACATTTTTTTTTCTTTTTATACGAGCGATATGTGTGGAGAGGGGAATTTGACCTAGGACATCGAGTGCATGGCTAAATGCTAATTTCCAATAAGGTTTAATATAAAACAAATACATATTAATGAAACCAAACATCACATATTATAAAATGAAAAATATATTTGACAACATAATTGAAAGGGTAACTATTTTAATGTGTATTTTTATTGATGACTTGCAACTAAACTCATAATGAATCGGACTTGTTTGGACTAATAATAATTTAATACATATTGGGCAATGTTTAAAACAAGTTAAATATATAGGTTTGATTTTTTTATTCCCCAAAACTCTCCCTAGGCTACAGCATACCTTAGTCATTAAGGTAGTTCCACCCATGCTCTTATTACAACCTTCTTCACATCTGATGACAATATGCAATTTAGAAGTCAACAAACCATTGAGACATTCATCAACGAGAAAATAACACCGAAAGGTTGAGAAGGAATCTGGCTATGATTTAGCAATTGAGGGGGGGAGAGAGAGAGAGAGAGAGAGAGAGAGAGAGAGAGAGAGAGAGAGAGAGGCTACCAAGGCAAGCAGCACAGGAGTAAGTGATTGGGTTGGGGTGGGCGATTGCTCCTCTTGTTTTTGGTTTTTGGTTTTTTTTTCATAATTTTATTTTACGTGGTAAAAATTAGGTTCCAATTCCAACTGTAAAATAAAGTGTGAGTTGTTTAAAAATATACCACATGACATATTTTTAAGAAAAGTATCACTTACTAACATGGCGATAACGTACTATTTTATAATTTTTCTAAACCCTAAACCAAATAGTGATAAGATTTGCTTACTTAATTCAAATTTGTGGGCCGATTTGTTTGGAAAACATATCAGAGCATAGGATAGTTGTAAAAGAAAAAAGAAAAGTGGGGGTAGGATAAGAAAAATATGAATAAAACCGCCTCAAAAAAATTAGAGATAATTAGGTGGAGTGGCCGAGTGGGTATTGGCAGTTGCAAAAAAAATAAAAATAAAAAAAATAAAAAACAGTTGAGAGTGGAAAGTCGAAAGAAAGAATGTCGAACGCCGTGGCGAATGGGCTGGCAGGAGCTGGAGGTGGCATGATTGCCCAGATTATCACTTATCCCCTCCAAACAGTACTTCTCCTCCTCCTCCATATCTCTCTCTCTCTCTCTCACTCTTAATTACGAGCAATTTTAAAACGAAACCACAGTTGGTTCGTACGCTCTAGTCTCTTTTTGGTCAATTGCAGGTCAATACGCGCCAACAAACCGAGAGAGTTGCCAAGAAATCCTTAGCTAACTCCAAACGCCTTGGGACTCTCGTTCAAATCCTCCAGGTTCATCATAAATCACTGTAATTACATTTTATTTTAATTTTATTTGTCAACCTTGTTTTTATTTCTATTTTTTGTAATGATATTTAGGTTATACGAAGCGACGGTTGGGGAGGACTATACAGCGGCCTTAAGCCTTCTCTGCTTGGGACTGCCGCTTCACAGGTTATTCTTCTTTCTTTTCATTATATCTTTTTTTTTTCCTCGACATGATTTGGATAAAGTAAGGGCTATTTGGATTTGGATTTCAAATGTAAGAATTTGAAATTTCCTTATTTGGGTAACATTTTTTAAAGCAGGAATGTCTTTTCGTTTTTTTTGGTAAAGTTTTTAATGCAGGAATTTCAGTTGAGGATTTCAATGAAAACTACATTAACTGGGAAAAAAAAAGAAAAAAAACCATTACAACAGTCAAAAAGTTTCAACACTCGTTCCATCAATATTGCCATTATCAAAATTTGTTTACGCAAATCCTTGATTCCAAACGGGTTCTAATAGAATCAGAAATATGCCACACTATAGAGGATAATGAATGTTAGTGATAGTTCTTTACATCATTCTGGCAGGGCATCTATTACTATTTTTATCAGGTTTTCAAAAACAAGGCTGAGGCCATTGCAGTTGCCCGGAAAGCAAAAGGACATGGGGATGGTACTGTTGGGATGTTTTCTTGGCTTCTTGTGGCAGCTTTAGCTGGGTAAAACAAAAACAAAACAAAAATTCCTCTCTTGTCCCATTAAAATAGAAAAAAACTATTTGTTTTCCTTCTTTCATAACGTCCATTCCTGAAGAAGTTTGGAAGTCTGGGTAAGAGCGTAATTGAGCCAATGTTTTCAATTTTTTATTTATCATTATGCCTAGCTGGCTTGGCTATCAAATATTTGATTGTTGAACTGGAATTTAGTTTTGAAGGATATAGGTAGGTGACTTATTTCCACTTGGTGGTTTGATAAGTTTCTTTCAAATATTTTACCTTGCAGTTCCCTGAACGTGTTGCTGACAAATCCTATATGGGTTCTTGTGACTCGTATGCAGGTTTGTTTGCATTTTCAATACATGTATGCTAATGTTTTTTAACCACCTTGTTTGCAGTTTTAACTGATTTTTGTTAGACACATGTTGGAATTTGCATTTATGTATGCAAAAATCCCACTCAATTGTACTTGAAGAAGTCAATGTAGTGTAGAACAAGTAACAAGAATTCAGAAGACAGAGGAATCGTAGAACTAGGAGACAGAAAGAACTAGATAGACCTAGGAGAATCCAGAAGAATAAGATAGAGGATTAGAAATCGATACTAGAAGAGAAGACACAGAAAAAGATACTCGAGGAGAAAATCTGTTTAATCAATCATTCAAGTCTGCTTCTACTGAATTACAAAGCACATCTCTATAATAACTTAATCTTGCTACAAACAGGAAAGTAATCCTAACCCTACTAGAAGTACAAAAGTGATAAGAACAAGAAAATAACGTAAAATTGGAAACTAAAATAAAATATTGCTAATTTATTATTAAATATCACAATGATTTCCTAAAAGAATTTTATATGCGAAGTGACGTATGTATCTTTAATGTCAGATTACATATCAAAGATTATAGAAAGAAATCTGTTTGCATAGCATCTGCATTTTGTAATGTATTAGGCCTGTAAAGGGATCAGATATGGGCGGGACTAGCCTATATCTGGTAAACTCCAATAACAAAAAAAATTTGATGGATTATTGTTAATCAAATCCATATCTGGTTTGCTATCGAATACTCAATCTGACAATCTCGAATTCTGTTGACATATTTATTACTAGCTAACCATTACAACACTTTTTTTTTCACCAATTGCATGCTTTAATGGTTATCCAAGAAGTTGAGGAATTATTTAATTTGACTTGTAAAATTTTTACGTAAATTAAAAAAAATTAAAAGTTCAAATTATATATACACAAATCTATATAACATATAAAAATCAATTATAGACTGTCAATTGGGATCAGATTTGCTCTAATTTGTATTTAAGTTGTAAAGTTATGGTTTATCGAATTTGGATCATAAATCGGATTGAAAATGCAAATCCATATACTATTAATTGTATTGGATTGGAATCAGATTCGGATTAAAATCCAATGCATTTACAGGTTGATGTAGTTCATCTGGGAAGGGCCTTCTTTGTGTTGGTGTGTGCTGGTTTATGAATAAAGAAACTTCAAGTGCAAAACAATATTTATGTGTCCTACCTCTGTTAGATTTACATGACTTATACTTACTGGCATCTGCATATGTTTTGCTGCAAAACTCAAATAAAAGAAGGGAAAAGTGAGATATTTTGTGAGTAGCTCATGTTATTTGTCATGATAATGCAGGTTTCCCTGGATGTTTAGACTAAAAGACCCACCCTCTTTTTGCTGTTTTTGTTTCTCCTATGCATGTGTGTAAATTCTGAACTACCTTTTGCACAATTAAACTGTTTCATGGAATTTTCCATCACAAATATATCAACATTACCTTCAGAGCATACGAGGACAATGTATGCCAATTTACATCAAATTCTACTTAGATTGGTATACCTTCACAATATTTGAATGCATTAATAATTATAATGGGATTTTATTTCCAATGTTAGCATATAACTTTGTTTTGCATTTCATCTTTGAAAGAATAACATGAATTTTTTTGTTTTCTTTGAAGACACATACGCAAGCTGAGAGAAAAATTATGGAGGAAAGAAAGGAAGCACTCTTAAAGGAAGCTTCTGAAAACTGTTTGACAGGTTCAGAATTGCAAGTTAAATTGGCTGAACTTGATTCAATAAAACCTCATCCCTATGGAACTTGGCAAGCGGTTGGTAAATTCAACTTCTTTTGTCCGGAATATATTTTTCAATAACAAATGACATGTGATTTTTGGTTAGTATTCAGTCAATATCCTTTGCTTTTTGATGCTCGAGTATTTATGTTACGCCCCAAACTGTAAAGGTTAAAGGAGTTATTTCTTCTAAGAAATATGTAAACGTTAAAGGTTATGTGTAATTATCAAGTATGTGAAATTGAAGTTCTCAAACATACAACTTAATAAAAGAGTGGGAAAAAATGCCATAAACTTCAAACAAAAGTCAATAACTTAGCTTAGTCTGGCCAAGCCCTCCTGATTGAGTACACAACAATGCTTTTAGGGCTAACCAACCAAATAACAACCTATGGGTACATATTGACCAAGGAAGTTGCCTCCCTAATCCACTTTAGCGGTGATTCTCGTTTACATTACATAAAAACTCATTAAACTAATAATGAACATAAAAGTCAGTAAGCAATTAGAGTATTCTTCAAATTGTTTTTATGTTTCTTATTCTTAGTTATGTCCTTAAGTATTTTTACAAGCTGGGCATGATTATCATCTACGCACCAGCTCAAGAGGAGGGTTGGTGAATAAAAGTATATTGTTGTTAGGATTCTGATTTTAAAATATTTACTTTCCCAATTTTTTTAAGGGGTGTTGATGCAGGAGACCAGTTCAAAGTATAACAGACAAAGTATAACAAATAAGTCCATCCAAGTACATTGAACCATATCGTTACTTAAGAGTCTTTGTACTTTTTTGGGTAATAATTGCAATCTAGACATCTATTTTAGGTTCGTTGTTTTAGAGTGTTATATTCATTCTCTCTATGCGATTTCTAAGAATAAAAAATAAAAATTTCTCTATGTTACATGGTCCATGTATTAGGTGTCATGAATTGTGTCCTTTAGCATTTCTAAGTGTATTAATTTGGGTATTTCAGGGATTCATGTACCAATGAGCCAATAAAACAAGTTACTTTGTAGCTTTAAAAGTAAGTTAATAGTGAAAGTGATGCAGGTAGCTATAAGTTGCTGTTCGGCAACCCAAACATCCCAAAAATAGAGAATAGAAGGATAAAACAATAGAATTGAAGTTGGAACGCAGATAATTGAGTTCTAGGGCAAATATCCCAAAAGAAACTCTATAGGTTATAGTCTGGAATTATATTCATCAACAAAACTGCGTACAAGAGTCTCTTAATAGCCTATTTATTTTAGAATAAAGAAAACCCAAATGACAAAGGAAATTAAAAACCAAAACAGGAAATAGAACAAATCCTAGTAAGAATAGGAAAACAAATGAAGTAACTATTAATGTAAAGGAACTAGAACCCTATCCCAATTGACTAACAGGCCTAAGTAATCTTACAGAGCTTCGTAAATGCTCCTGCATTAGACTCCCCTGGTTGGAAAAGACTCGTCCTCGAGTCTAAACCGTTATCAACGAAGACTCCATGAGATGCTTGAAACTGAATTCTTCCTTTCCAAACAAAGAGGTATTTTGAATATCGGACCATTCTTGAACACTTATGTTTATTCTCTTGCATCAAAGAGAAATACAAGTTCCCGCTCTTGATGCCAAAGGTCGGAGTGAAATCAGATCTCTCTCTTCTTCCTTTCTCTTGCTACTATCCTACATTAGGTGTTATTTAGTTTCCTATTCTGTTTAGGATTGTATAGTGTTTAATTCCTTTAAGGTCGTGATTATGGATCTCTTTCTCTCCTTTTCTGAACACTTACACATGGTAGCTAAAATAAAATCAAGGCCTAAGAATGTAATTATAAAATCCTAGTCATTCTTATGACCAAGCACTGCCTAAGAAGCTAAGTCTAGGTGTTGCAATGTTCATAGTTCACCAATTGTTAGAAAAATTGCCAAAGTTCTTTAAGAAATGATTGCTATCAAGTATGAAGTTTCAAAAATACATGCCTTCATGTTACATTATGTTTTCAGTGGTGCTGTACATTTGTTTGCGCACTATTTGTTCCAATGTGCATGACATTGAACGTGCATTATGCTATATTTTGAATGAAATGGAACTAGAGCTTTGACATTGAAACATGCCATATTCCTTCATAAGTAGTGGGTTTTCAGTGCCACATAACACTTCTGTGAAACATGGGTGAGGGGATGGAGCCTGGTGAGAAACTCTTCTGCTGCCTTATGCTTGACATGGCTGTAACTCGAGGCAATGGTGACAGTTGACATTGATAATGTGTACTAGAAAACAAAATGGTTAACCTGATTGTTTTTCTTGTTGCTTCTCCTATATGCTGTGTATGCATATCTTTTGGTTAGGTAAACGAGGTTTATTCTGAAGCCAAGATTACCGGATTTTGGAAAGGGATTGTCCCAACGCTTATAATGGTTAGGTTTTCAATAGTTGAATAAATTCTAGCTGCACGAAGAGTCACTTTCAAACTAATGAGTGATTCGGTTTGTAGGTTTGCAACCCAGCAATACAGTTCATGATTTATGAGAGCTCCTTGAAGCATCTTAGGGCAAAACGTGCTGACAGAAAGCAGGGGTCAAAAAATATAACTGCTTTGGAGGTATAAGATCTACTTGGACTGAGTTTTGAAAGCATGGCTTTTCATTTTCTCTAAAAGGTGCTAATAACCTGGCATTTCTAGTCCATATGAAGGGTGCCATTCTTTGGAATATCCAGAATATTAGCCTTACACTATCTTCTCTCTCTCTCTCTCTCTCTCTCTCTCTACATTATTTTTGGACAGGTCTTCTTGTTAGGGGCCTTGGCAAAACTAGGCGCAACTATCTCAACCTATCCGTTGTTAGTTGTCAAGGTGAAGTATACTCTGTACACTTTATAATCCTAAAGACGTTATGGGAAAACTTAGTTCAACAGTACTTCTAAATCCCACTTCATGTGAGTGAAGTTCATATGGTTATTTTGTGACTAGTCCATGAACATTGTTTCTACTTCTTTATCTCACTCAATAGATGTGCATTAATCTGCGTTTGACCATATGTGAGATTTATCCATCCTAGTCTGCTTTAAATGTCCAATAATCTATGTCACCTTGAGCCTATGCAGTCAAGGCTGCAAGCAAAGCAGGAGATTGGCGGGAATATTTCACTAAGATACTCAGGTTCGCATTTTATTGATATATCAGACATATCAATCTTTGTTTTGAATTGATTCATTATTTTGAAGATTACAATTATATCTTTCTCATGTCACTTTTCCTTTCTGTGATGAATTTCTGATCTGCATATCCAGCGTATATGAGATAAAAGTATGATCATCCTATTGAATGGATAACTGAACGGATGAGAGTTTCACTTGTGCTTTCTCTATTTTGCATGTCAAATATCAATCAATTTTTCAATACAGAACTATATATGGGTTCTTGGTACCGCAGGTACTGTTGATGCTATAAGGAAGATGATCCAGTATGAAGGATTGCCTGGGTTTTACAAAGGGATGAGCACAAAGATAGCACAGAGTGTTTTTGCGGCTTCTGTACTTTTTATGGTTAAGGAGGAACTCCTCAAGATTTATACGTTGCTGGCGGATAAGTGCAATAAAGTTCTGCTTAGTTCAGCAAAATAATTACTTCAGTGTAAGATGAAAGTGTCCTTGATCAAAATCTGCATTATTTTTAAACTGATGTGCAATTCATTACTTTTCAACACACACACACACACACACACACACGTGTATGCATATTGCTATACCCATTCTGGGAAACCCCATGGATCAAAGGTTCAGAATGTGATGCTTATTTCATCCGATCATAGTAGAACAATGGGAAGTAATTGTGGACATTCTGATATTAGTGATATCTGATTTCATGAACCATCTTTCCATCTCGATTTGAGATTTCATACTATTTTCTAAGTTCTTACACTGTAGGTCCTGGTTATATCAAGGTACAAGGGTTGCATTTTACGCATTGGCAGAGCCAATTAAGGCCCACAAGGGTCACTTGACCCTTCTCAACATTTTGAAAACCTTATATTTATCTATGTTATCCAAGTTGTTTTATAGCTATATTTACTGTTGACCCTTCTCGCAAACGTACGTTGTCTACAATAAACATGAATATGATCTATATTTCTTTGCATGTTTTCATATGTCATTTATATGCGTGTGCTATGGATTTATTTGATTTTCTCATTCTATCTAAAATCAACTTTTGATACTCTTTCATTATTTTTAGGTTGCTAGAATTTGGGTTATACTTACTAAGATATTAAATGAGTGTTGCTAAACGAATCCTAAAATTAACTGAATACACCCTATAATCTAAGTTAACCCTAATATTTTAATCAAAATGTAAAATTAACTAAGTACACCCTATTTAATTACCGAAAATAGCCCTAGTACAACACTCTAATATCAATCCTAAACCAGATATCTCTTTTTACATGAATCTGTGCCCTCTTTTCAGATTTTGGGTTTCATCAAAATCTTTAATTCCGTAATACCAATCCTAAACTAGTACTCGCTGCGTTATACGTGAGCATCAAGCAATACGAAGACTTTTCTATGCCTGATAAGGATTGAATATAATGAGTAAGGTGTACTTATTAAGATTTTATTTGTTTCACAATTCAATTAATCCTTTTTGGTCATTTTATATTAGGGTAAATTAATAATTTAATAAATAGTTTGGTAGTAGGGTGTACTCAGTTAATTTTAGGATTCGTTTAGCAATACTCTATTAAATTTGTGATATTGAAATTTAATCATTACAATGAATTCTTAAATATATTTTCTTATAAAAACTAAGTTTAATGTAATTATAAAGCTATTTAAAGTTGACCCTTCTCGATAGAATTGTTGTCTCCGCCATTGATTGTATGGTACCTTATCAACATCATCCATCCTCTGATGTCACCATACCGAGGAATGACCAAATCTCTACTTGCTTGCTTATAGTTTTAAACAAAGGCATCTTTCCCTCTTACATGAACTTAGCACATTTTATGCATGCATCTTTGTGAATCTATTTTCTGAGAGAGACAAAATATGCTTAGAGTATTATACTTGTTTCTTACCATTTCCTTTCTAATCTTGTACTTAATTATCGTAATGTTCATCAACCTACGGGGAGATATGGATCTAGAGCCTTATTTATTGTAATGTTCATAAACCTATGGGGGAGATATGCAACTTCAGTATTCAAATTATGCATTTCTACAATTTCATTATTCAAGTTTTTATGAAACTTCAATATGTTTTCGTTGAGATTTTCTTAGAACTTTTATTATGTGTCTATTTAAGTATTTATGCAACTTCAGTATTCAGGCTTTAAGAGGTTAATAACAAAGTGTTTATACAATTCTATATATTGTTCAACAACTAGAATAAATTAACACTATTTTATATTTATAAATTAATTACAATTATATTTTATTTGGTATGTTATTTAAAAGAATGATTAGCTACATAAAACCCTCCAAATCATGGGGTCATTTTGAAATTCATACGCATTTTGTAAGGCATTTATAACTCCATACTCAAACTCCCAAAAACCCTACAAATTACCCATGTTAGTCAATTTGTTAGTATATTTGTTAAATGCTGATGTGGCAAATATAGGCCTCATTTTTTTACAGACGTGGACTCCAAGTGGACAACACAATTAATAAACAATTCTTTTTATAAACATAAGGAATGTTGATGATCATCATAACATCCATAACACCCGCTATAAGAATAGCTTGTGTTTGAGCTTGTAGGGTAAGTCTATATATAAGAGGTCTTACTAATATAAAACAAACAAGTTTTGATAGGGCAAAATTCTATTGCCCTTCTTTTCTTCTCTCTACAATTTCCCTCTAGTTTTATAACAATTCTTTATTTTTTCAAATTAAAAAATTCTTACAATTAAATCAATTCAAAACAAAAAAATCTCTCGTTGTCTCTCCTCCCAAGCCCCCTCAACTCGAGGTACTTAGCAAACAACTACTATGGATGCCCAAATCCTACCGGCATTGTCACTTCCATTCAACAATTTCTCAGACCACCTTGGTCCGCCACGTCTCCCTCTCGCACAACTACCCCGACTGCACAAAACAACCAACCCACCCAAACCACCACATGAGTTACCCAAACTACCACACTTCGGTCCCACCACAGCGCACCCACGGATCTTGGGAATTGGAGGAGTGTCGTTGTCTTGGCTGGAAGTGAAAATGAAATTGTTATCAACAACCCCACCCAAGTATTCTAATCGAAAAACTGGAAAACTGAGCCGAATTGAGCCTAAGAAAAAGGGCAAAAATCAGGTTGACCAAAAATCACATCGGATTGGTTTGGTCCGGTTTCGGTTTCAGTTCTTGTAATGTAAAAAGGGAATCAGGTGCATATTTTGTAATTTTTTAATAAAATATTTAACCCCAATGCTAAATTTCTAAGCCCATAACTAATCTTTCTCCATGTCCAACTCCAAATCACCTCTCTTTTCTAGGCCAAATAACCTCCCTTTGCATGAAATTTATCCTTCTTTTTTTTTCCTTAATGTCCTTCCTTAAGCTTTCGACATGACCCAAGTAACAGATGTTCAATCAGTGAACCCAAGTCAGTTGACCATAGGACACTAGGTGAGCAAGCACCCCAAAGAAATACTTATCCAAATCATGAAGGCTTCAAAGGAAATCAATGAGGCAAATTATCAAAACCTTTTTACGCAAGCCTGACGTTGCTTAGACAAGAGGCCTGGTTACTCCGCAAGGATCAAGCACATACATTTTTATTTTCTGTATTTATTTCTGGAACGATCAAGGAGCATGCTAGCAACAAGGTGAAAATGATCAAAAGTCAAATGGATACACGATGAGGGGATGTGCAGAATGCTTTGAGAAGGATTAGGGTGCAAGTGCCAAAGTGAGACGAGAGATTTGCAATATAGACTAGTAAAATCATGGAGAATGGCAATGTGTAACCAAATGACACTATGAGTATGCAATTCAAGTTGACACAGTACTAGAGCCCAATTTTAGTTCATCAAATGTGAGAAGTTTAAACTTGATTGTGATACAACACAATTCCCTACACAAGCTAGATAATCTCGTTGAACACAACCAATGAACTAACATAAATCAGAAAATGAAATAGCAGGGGAAATGAACATACATCATAAACAAATTAATCAAGAGAGCAAACACCTAGAGACTTTCTAAGGGTTTCAAACCTAAGATTATCAAGAGATTTAGTGAAAATATAAGCTAGTTGTTTATCAGTGAAAATGAATTCAAGAGAAAGAATATTATCCTCAACTAAGTCACGAATGAAATGATGACGAATATCAATGTGTTTTGCGCTAGAGTGTTGAACAAGATTCTTGGAAATATTAATAGCACTCAAGTTATCACAAAAAATCATCATTTTATCTTGTTGAAGACCATAATCAATGAGCATTTGTTTCATCCACAGTAACTGAGTGCAGCCACTTCCAGCATCAATGTATTCGGCTTGGCAATTGAGAGGGAGACAATTTTGTTTCTTGTTGAACCAAGATACAAGATTGTTGTCTACATAAAACCAACCGCCAGTGGTGCTTTTCCTATCATCAATGTTCCCTGCCCAATCCGCATCCAAGTATCCAAATTTAGAAACAAGGTTTTTTTTGCATATTTGGTTTGAGAGACAAATATTCCTTCATTGAATTGTTGATCCTGCAAACCAAGAAAGAAGGTTAGTTCACCACACATACTCATCTCAAATTCTTTTCGCATTACCTCATGAAATTCATGAACGAGAGAGCTAGATGTTGAGCCGAACACAATGTCATCCACGTGCACTTGTGCAACCATTAAATCCCATTTTGTTCTTTTAATGAAAAGAGTTTTGTCAATACTGCTACGAGGGTATCCGTTCTGAAGAAGATGGGAAGATATGCGACCATACCAGGCTTTTGGAACCTGTTTGAGTTCATAAAGTGCCTTTTTCAGATGATAAACGTGATCAGGATTGATAGGATCTATAAATCCCGCAGGCTGTTCAACATAAACTTCCTTCTATAGAACGCCATTTAAGAAGGCACTCTTGACATCCATTTGATGTAGCTTGAACCTGAGATGGCACACAATTGACAACATCAAATGAACATCTTCTAACCTTGCAACGGGAGCAAAAGTCTCATCAAAATCTAACCCTTCACTTTGTGTGTAACCTTGAGCAATAAGTCTGGCTTTGTTGCGCATAATTTGTCCTTTCTCATCTGTCTTATTTCAAAAGATCCACTTGGTACCAATTACATTAGAGTCTTTGGAACGAGGGACAAGGTAACACACATCATTTCTTTTGAATTGATTCAATTCCTCTTGCATAGCCAAAATCCACACGTTGTCTGCAAGGGCATTCATCACATTTTTAGGTTCAAGTAATGACACATAACATAAATTACTTACCTCTTCATACACTTGTTTTCATGTCTTTAATCTATCATGAACATTTCCAATGATGTCAGAAGGAGAATGATTTGTTTTTGCTCCAGGTCTACGTATTAGAGAAGTGGGAGAGGTAATTGAAACATCGTCAGCATCTGTGGCTTCAGGAGTTGCATTATTTGTATTGTCAATACTTGGTTCTCAAATGATTGGCAATTGGTTTCTTTCCTTTCCATATTTCATACGGAGTATTCTTCATGTGTGGCCTGAAAGGTTAGGTAACCCTCTTACACATGCTTTTTTGGAAAATTTGATCAAATCTTAATAGTTCATGTGACCTAATTGACGGTGCCAAAGATCTAGGTGATCTGTACTTGTCCTCAAACACACTTGAGAAACTTCATTAGTAGAAAAACAACAACAATTATCATTAGATCTTTTTCCAACCATCACACTTGCTCCTTCTTTATTATTGACAATGCATTGAGTTTTAGTAAAACTTACCTCACCTACTCCATCACACAGTTGGCTTACACTGATTAGGTTGGCTTGAAGATTTTCAATCAGTAAGACATTTTCCAAGCTTGGGGTACCAGTTGCCATATTCTTTCCTTTACCCAAAATCTTAGATTTTCTTCCATCTCCAAAAGTGACCATCCCACTCACACTTTCTGTATATATTGCAGAAAAACATGATTTGTCACCAGTCATGTGTCTTGAGCATCCACTGTCAAAATACCAAGACTTAGGTTTATGATAAAAAAGGGTAGTGAAGGCCACAAAACATTTGACATCTAAGATTTCAATAACAATTTGAAATTGCTAGCAAGAAATTTATATTTTCCTTCTTTCTCCACACTAGCTTTGTTTTTGGTAAAGATAAAGAATAAGAAAGCTTAGACTAGCTTTTTACCTCACTTACAAGATGTAAAATCTTGTTTTGAATGCTTACCTGACCGCCCTTGATAGGTTTTGGACTTACTAAAGTATCATGGGGCAATTTTCATTTCGGATAGATATGCCCATGAGTACCACAATGCCATGTTGGTATGAATCTCTGAATTCTTTGAAAACCTTGAGTGTCAATAGGAATTGATGATTTCACGAATTTTGTGATGGACACAACGGAAGTCTTTTTGCTTGAGTCAAATCCGAAGCCACTTTTGTCACCATCCCGTCGACCCATGCTAATCATTTTATCGACTTTTTCTGCACCAACAGTCAAAGCAATAATCCTTTCTTTTGAATTTTTAAGTTCAAGTTCTAGGTTTTGTTTATCAGAGGTCAAGAAGACAATTAACATATGTTGGTCAGTGCATTTTTCTCTAAAAATTGAATTTTTTCGTTCATGCTTGTACTTACCATTCTGGGAACAATATCAGAGGATGGCAACTTGACAGCAATCCTGCTTTTTTCTAGTATTAACACAGCAACAGTTTTGATGAGTTCTGCATTTTGTTTGCTGAGTTTATGAGAGACAGCCAACAAATCATCATATTTTTCCAGCACAAATTCAATATCGAATCCTTCATCATCATTTTTCTTTGATGCTTCATCTAGACTAACAGTGGTAATGAGAGCAACGGTATTCTCTTCATTTTCAGATTTTGACTCACTGTCGCTCCATGTTGCATTCCATGCCTTAGTTTTGCTAATATGTTTCTTTAGTATATTGGCACATTCAGAAGCTATATGTCCATACCCTTCGCATTCAAAACACTTGGTTCTCTATTTAGAATTTCTCTTTTCAGTAAACCTGCGAGATTTAAAGCTTCCATCAGTAAGATTAGAATATTTATTTTTTGAATTTGTACTTGATTGAGTTTTCGAATCATGAATTCTTGAGTTCTGGCTCTTAAAGAACTTCTTGAATTTTCGTGAAAGATAGACAAACTCTTCTCCGTGAAATTCCTCATTTTGATGATCATCTTCTTCTTTGTTCACCACCACCTTGAGGGCAACACTCTTGTTCTTTTCAAGGGCAAGATGTTTCATCTCATAGGTTTGAAGAGAACCTATGAGTTTGCTCACTTTCATGGTGTTTAGATCCCTAATCTCCTCAATGGTTGTGACCTTCTGTTGAAACCATTGAGGCAACGATCTCATAATCTTTTTCATGACTCTATCTTCTGAAATTTTTTCACCTAAGTTCGAACAAGCATTCACAATAACACACAGTTTAACATAAAACTCAAAAAACATTTCATTATCATCCATTATCAGTGTTTCAAACTTTAGTTTGTATAATTAGAGCTTGGCGCCTTTTACTATGTCGGTTCCTTCATGAGTTACTGGCAAAATATCCCAAGCTTCCTTAGATGTATCACAACCAAAGATATATTCAAATTGATCAAAAGAAACATTAGTAAATAAAGCGTTTAACCCCTTTTGGTTATTGGTACTATGTGTGACTTTTGCATTTGTCAATTCCTCTCTAGGTTTAGGAACTGTGCGTTCTTCATCTCCTTTTCCAATTATTTTTGTGGGTTCAAAAAATCCATGAACCATATTCAGACACGTTCATCCAGAGACCATAAGAAAGACTTCATTTGAGCCTTCCAAGCGACATAGTTGTTCCCATCAAAATATGGTGGATGCTCAACTAAGCCTACAGCACGCTCCATCCTAAGGTATGTCGGATTCTGCTGAGAATGTTCAGCAACCTGCTCTGATGCCAATTAAAAATACCTATAGGATAACTTAGAACACTAAAAGAGTAAAGTTTGTGTTTTGAGTAGTCAAGAGTAATACAGTAATATAAATACAACATGCCAAAGGAATTGATACGATGTATCAATCCTCTACAGTGCAGAACATAAAAACAGAAAGCACACATAAAATATTTGAAGTGGTAAAACTCCGCCTTTGGGGAAAATCCACGGGACCTGATAGTTCAAGGCAAATCCACTATAGAACGATGATTACAAGAAGTATACAAACTTGTCCTAGACACTCTAGACAACGTACCAACTTCTTCGTAACTCAACTTCTCATGAGATTTCTCCTTCTCTCCTTATGTTGAATCAAATTCTTAACGCAATCGATCCAAGCTCACTGGAGGTATGATAACCTTGTAACTTATGCAAATGAATGCAAAGATAATCTTACTCTTGATGATTTATCATTCTGGAAAATAAAACACAGCAACTTTCTTTTGTTTATATGAAAACTCAAGAAAGATCTAGGTGGCCCTATTAAGGTGCAATGAGGTGCAGCACCTCCTCCTGTCGGAAAAACCATTGTAGGTGCTTCAAATTGCCAATTTTGCTTAGCTGGTGTATAGATTACCTTATTTTCATTTTCAACATTTAAGTAAATGTCTTTGTCCTTTTACTTTCATTTATTTTTATATTACTCAATTGACTTAAGTTTACAATGTAAATAAGGAAGTACCCCCAATTTGGATTCAAATAAAAATACTAGAAAATCAAATTCCCACCAAATCAAAATATGAAAAATCGGTTTTAGTGAAAATACGATTTAGGCTAAAAATGATGGCTCATTAAGTCAATATATACTTCATACTAAAATCTCACAAAATAAAGTTTTCTTATTTGATGTGTAAGGAATAAAAGCCGCCAAAAATTATCTTGAGAAAATGATTATTCCGAAAAACCATTTTTCATACTTAGTCAATATTTTTACGTAAACAATCTTTCATGTATGATATGAATGAAGGGACTTAAGGTTAATCTAGATAACAAAACCTTAGCTATTCAATCCACAAATAGTTTTTAGCCTTTCAAAATTGCACCTCCGCTAAAAAATTCTTGGGTCCGCCTAGTAGTCGAAAGTTGTAACTAAAGAATAAAACCAAACTTTCCTTTTATAATGGTTTTCAAAACTAGAAACAAGATCAATTAGCTCCTAATCAAATAGATTAATTTCAAAATCAGTATAATTTATTTCCAATCAAAGAAGATTTTTAATATTCAAAACTAGAAAGCATATTATAAATTAATCAATGTTTCTTTAAATAAAAAGTCTTCTTAATCATAATGTTAATCAGATTGTGAGTTCGAAATAATTCTTGAAATAGCACAATCATGATGCATGATTGAATGAAGAATTTACCTCAGAGATCGTTGGTTGACATATGTGCCTTCAAATCATATCTTGGAATTTAAACAACCACCATTGCTCTTCTATCACAACTAATTTACCGTTTATACTATAGTTTATTTGGAATCTAGGAATGCCAATCACAAAATCAATACTAACACATGTCTACCCCTGCCCATCTCTTTTGTCTTGGTGCGGAGAGTGGTTATTCTGACTAGCGATGGTTGAAATTTGCGACGATGGTTTTTCTAGACTAGATGTGCAACCAAATGATCTAGATCTGCATGGGATGGATGCTGTTAGATATGAAACTACGCCACCCCTCTCTCTCTCTCTCTCTCTCTCTCTCTCTCTCTCTCTCCTGTGGGTTGTTCTTAGAGGATTTGGGGATGGTGCTAGGATAAGGTGACCTAAGAGTTTCCGGCTGGTGCTGTGGGGAAGATGTTGGCTGCGGGAAGAGGTGGCACGAACTGGGCTGTTATTTTATTATTATTATTTTTTATAATTTTATTGTTTTGTGTTATATTCCACATCAACAAAAAAAAAGGCCCCTATAAATGCCACATGGGTAATTAACGTATGTACTAACATTTTGGCTAACGATGGGGGTGATTTGTAGGGTTTTCAGAGGTTTGAGTATGGAGTTGTGAATGTCTTACAAAATGTGTATGAATTTGAAAAGAGTGTTATGTAATTAACTGTCAAAAAAATCTAATATCAAATGGATGAGCAACAGTTGAGGTTGTTTGTTGCCTCTATTGCTTCAAGCCCAACCACAGTTGAATTCCCCTCGACCCGAGGCAAACAAGCAGCTTCGATTTTCATTCGAAAGGTCAGAGGTTAGACAAACTAAGAAGGCAAAAAGTCACTTTTGGTCCGTGTAGTTTGCCACTTTTACCACTTTGGTCCCTGTCGTTTCAATTTTGTCAATTTGGTTTTAATTTGAAGCAATTCAAGGACAAACCTCAATTTTTGTCAAAGATGTTGGGCATTAGGTATGTTTTTTTAATATTTAATTCTTGAGTCTTTTCAAATTTTCAAATTCTTTTTTTAAGATTTTAGAGTTGAGAAGTTTGATGGCATTGTACTTTGAAGGTGCAAAACAATGTATTTACCACAATTTGTAGTTTGAGGATCATGGATGGGTGTGAAGGAACTCAAGTTTTCGCCATTAATCCTTCGGGAACCACCACCATCACCAACAATGGCGGCAATGATGGTGGTGTGGGGGTTTGGTGGGCTTGGGTGGCTGGGGTGGTGGTTGGGTTACATGGAGGTGGTGGCTGGTTGGGGTTTGGTGGGCTTGGGTAGCTGGGGTGGTGGTTGGGTTACATGGAGGTGGTGGCTGGTTGGGGTTTGTAGGGACTCTTGGTGGGTGTTGGGGTTGGGAGGAGAAGGGTGTGAAAAGTTTTATTTTAATTTTAGGCTTTTTATTCCAAAACATCCCTGACATTTATGAAACTATCAGATTGCATCCTTAAAGTTTTTTTGTATCACTCATAGTCCTTAATGTTAATAGGGAGATTCACTAATATACCCAATATAGGAGCCCAAATTATAAAAAAAACCCTATATGAAATGGAATTTATAAACACACCCAAACCCATTTATAACATAACAAAAAGGCTTTTAACTTCTTTTAAATTACAAAATTGCTATTGATTTCTTAAAACAAATCCAACCCAAAATTTCATAAAAAAGCCCAAAACACTCAATAGGGTATCAAAGTAATTTAATAATTAAAATTAAATTCAATAGTACCATTTGTCATTTTTTGGGTTTTTTTTGGGTATGTTTATAAAAATGAAATGATGTAGGGTTTATTTATAGTTTTAGTGCTAAAAATGGGTATATTACTAAATATCTCATGTTAATATGAGTGCTCTTAAATAGTACATTCGTCAAAAAAATTGTTAAATCTAAGGATATAATCGTCAAATCCATCCAAAATTTTATATATATATATATATATATATATATACAGTCCCCTTCTATTTAGGGATCCCTCAAATAATTTTATTTGAGGGACGCCCTTTAGGGTATCCTACAATTTTTTTTCCAATGATCCAAACCATCCATTTTTTAGGTCTTCATTCATAGATCATCCTTATAAAAAATTAGACAAATCGGAAACCGTTTTGACATCCAATTGTGTCTTACAAAATCAATGAACACGGTGCTTCAAGAAAGTACTAAAATTTCAATAACTCAATTGAATGGTCAAATGATATCGGATTCAATTGATTTTTTGTAGAGATGATCTTTGAATGTCTATCTACAAAATAGACGGTTTGGATTAGTGAAATACAATCTGGAGTGGGCCCTACGAGGGGTGTCCCTCAAATAAGCTTATTTGAGGGATCCCTCAATGGAAGCTCTCTATATATATATATATATAGTCTAGAAACCTGCAGAATTGTTAAATGGAATTTTGTTTATAAACCTTCCTATTGTTTCTATGGTGCAGATTTAAAACAACATTTAATAACCTGTCTCGCACTCTCCTCCTTCCTCCCTCTCTTCCTCCGTTCTCATTTCTTCCCCCATCTATATTGCTGAAATTTTCCTTTTATTTTTATTTTTATTTTTTTCCTTCCATCTCTCTCTCTCTCTCCTCTTGCACTTCTCCATCTCCAGTCCACTACCCAAGCTTCTCCCTCCACAACACTCTCTTCCCTGTTGCTTTCATCCATGGCAATAGCATAAATTTTCCTTTTGTTATTTTTTTATATAATGGTTTTGGCTGAGTTCTTCTGCATTGATGTCTGACTAATTTATGGTTTTGAGTAAGGAATTGGTTTATTTTTATTTTTTTGGAAAGCCGAAACAAGTTAGGAAAAAAACAATAGAACAGAGAGGAAAAGAATAGAAAAGAGGAAAAGAAAGAGGGAGAAACAGCAAAACAAAAGAACCAGAGCAACAACCCAAAATGGTGGAAGAGAAAGGAATAAGAAGGAAAATACAGCAACCCAAATGCTCCCCACCAGAAACACCCAAAGCCCCACAGTCAAAATCCAAACCCCCAACAGACTCTCTAATCCCAGAAGAAAGCAAACAACTGTGGAGAGGAGAGAATAATAGGGAAGGTCAAAGAGAAGGGAAATTAGAGGGAGAGACAGAGGAGGAGCTACCATAAGAAATGGGAGAAGAGAGGAGATGGAAGGAAAAAAAGAAAGCTTCAGCCACGCAGATGGGGGAAGAAATGTGAATGGAAGAAGAAAGGGAGGAAGGAGACGAAGAGTGCGAGAGAAGGGAGGGAGATGGAAGGAAAAAAAATAAAAATAAAAGGAAGGAAAATTCAGCAACACAGATGGGAGAAGAATTAAGAATGGAGGAAGAGAGGGACGAAGGAGACGGAGAATATCTCCCTGCAGACTTATATATATTATAGGGTAAACTACAGTAAATCCCCAACCTATAGGATCATTTACGAGTTCATACCCGATTTTAGAGACATTTATGAATACATACTCAACGGCTCGGAAAACTTACAGATTGCCCTCTCCGTTAGCGAGTCCGTCAGGAAATTCGTTATCTGCCTACGTGTCAAATGTAGGTTCTATTTTTTAATGAGGTTGACTTACAGGTGGACAAATAAATAATAAAAAATTATATATTTTTCAAAACTAATTTTAAATCATTAAAATTCACTATTTCAAATTTTTTAAAAACGAATAAAATAAAATAAAAAATCTCTCTCCTCTCCTCCTAGCCCCCAACCACCCTAACCAACACCCACGCTTACTCAGGCCACCCATCTCCAAATCCAGATGCTCCGCCCCATTCCCAACCTCCCCCACCTCAACCCAGAAAAATATAAAAATAAAAAACTCTACCCAAATCCAACAGTTAAACTGAATCCCAAATCAAATAGACAATTTTATCAGATCTATTAAAGGCATTTCGACTTTTTCAAATCCAGTATTCGAAGACCCAACTGAAGATTTAATCTTAAGTCAATAACCATATACATCAACATGAACCACGAAAGCACAGATCTACACAAAGTAACTAGCTAACAAATTTACTAATCAAACCGTCAAATAAAGAAAGAAATCTAGCATACACAGATCTATTGCATACCAGTCACTGTAAACAAGATCTATAAGCTATTATGAGCAAAAATATACACCCCGTCTGGTACATAGTTCTCCAGGTCGAAGCCCATGGCGGCTGGAGATAGTTACGGGTCGGGAGGAGAGATGACGCAATCGCCAAACTTAATCTTCATCGCCAAACTGCCGTAATCTTCTTCGTCGAAGCCCATCTTCATCGCCAAACCCAGGATATGGGTATCTTGATAAATTTTTGGGGGAGAGAGGGAGAGAGAGAGAAAGAGATCGAGAAGGGGGTAGGTGCGGTTGATTGGGCTACGGTGTCGCTCGTCCGAGCTGTGGGGGGGCTGCTCAGTTTTGGGGCGGCTGCTGGGTTTGGCTAAATTTTTGCTGGGGGTGGAGGAGAGCTGTTGGGGGGGCTGCTAGGTTTGGGGGTGGCTGCTGGGATTGGGCTACGGAGAAGATGAGGTTTTTATTTATTTATTTATTTAAATTTAGATTTTTTCAATGTTTTTTTTATTATTATTTGTTATATTAATTTTATTTCCTTTTTTTAAAATTTAAAATTTTTATTATTTTAAAAATAATTTTTTATTATTTATTTGTCCACTTGTAAGTCCACCTCACTAAAAAATGGAACCCACATTTGCCACGTAGGCAGATAACGGATTTTTTGACGGACTCGCTAACGGAGGGGGCAATCTTTAGGTTTTCCGCGATGTTGAGTATGTACCCATAAATGTCCTCAAAATCGGGTATGAACTCGTAAATGACCCTATAGATTGCGGGGTTTACTGTAGTTAACCCTATATTATATAATTTTGGATTAATTTGACGATTATATCTCTGGATTTAACATTTTTTTTGACCGAATGACTATTTAAGAGCATCCATGTTAACATTAAGGACCATGAGTGATACAAAAAAACTTTAAGGATGCAATTTGATAGTTTCGTAAACGTCAGGGACGTTTTATGATAAAAAAAAACCTTAATTTTAAAACTATTTTTCTTATTGTTTATATTTGTATCCTTTATTTTTAAAAGGAATGAATTTTTTAATAACTTGTGGACCAAATTGCCCCTCCACAAATAACGGAAGTAAAAAAAATTTGACATAAAATGAGAATTGGCCTTGAATTCATTCAAATTGAAACGACAGGAACAAAATTGACCAAATTAAAACGACATATACCAAAGTGGTAAAAGTGACAAACTACATGGATCAAAAGTGATTTTTGCCAACTAAAAAATGTTCTCCAAGGTTATCATCCGAAGGATTATAATGATATCAGCCCAAATAAGAATAAAACCCCAAAATATAATAAATTTCCATGAAACAGGAATAAAAGAAAGGAAAAAAGAAAGAAAGTGAGGAACTGTTCATATGCTATCGGACATATAATGATAAATGAAGGGACCTCTGGGGTGCGTATACGCTTGTGTAAGAAATTGAAAAGCATCAGTTTATTTACATGGTAAGAATTATGTTTAGAAGCTTCTATACCATCTTTGCTCTAGCTAGAACCCCTAGAGATTCCACTGGCGGTTCTCCGCGAGTTTCAACATAGGCAAAAACACATGTAAATTCAATTTAAACCACATAATGGTGACAAAATGGTAAATATCATCCCTTTACTTTTCCTTCCTTAGGTCTGAGATAACCTGGTATACATATATTTGCGTACCCTAAAATCTTATAATGGTCACAAAGTCGAAGCAGAAGCTGTTGTTGGCACCCGGAGAACTTGTTGAAGCAACCTTGCAGCAAGGCGTTGTGTGATCCCACCAATGACACGCCCCCCTAGGTTGCGTGCCTCAGGTTGTTGAAGGACCTGATTGAGTATGATATCACTTAAAATGTTAACGAACAAGTTGAGTCTTTTAGGTCTAATTCAATGACAACGTACAATGTGTCAATCAATTCAAAAGACTGAAAAAGGATAACTGATGAAGGCTAAGAATGGGGTGGTGTAAGATGAAGGATATAATCATCAAGGGTCAAACAGAAAATCTGACCTCAAACAAGATGGAGTTGCAAAAAGGTTGGCAGAAAATGTTAACGTCAATAATTTCATTTGAGAAACATAAAAAGTTGAAGAGCCTGCATCCTCCCAATAACATTTGAAATCTAAATTAAGAGGTCTTTGTTTCTGTACTAATTAACTTTGGGAATAAGCAAATCATATCTTTTTCTGAACAAAACTATTTTACCATGTAACATGTTCCAGTGTTCGAAGGATAATGCATAAAAAAGACTTTCTTAACCCAAATAGAATCTGAATTATTTGACCCTTTTTTTCTTCAATATTTCTATACTCATGCAGCTATGATAGATTAAGCTTAAGCTAAGGAAGCAAGACAACCAACACAACAGCTTATCGACCAAGAGCTAGAAAGAACTTAGATAACTAGAAAACAAACATGGTTCTTACTTGCAAAATGGGCTGCAAAAGGGCTGGATCAAAACTCTCAGAGGACCTTAGAAGTCCCCAAATCCTGAATACTTGATCTCGGAGCTCTATCATGCTTTCTTGTTCCACAATGCTCATTACGAGTGGTCCAGTAGCATTGCCATTAACAACCAAAGCCCTCATAAAATTAGGCATAGAATTATATGTGTCAATAACGGTGCCCCATATAAAAGCTTCAGTGACACGTACAGCCTCCTTAATAACTAAAGTTCGGAGCTCTTCGCCATCTGAACCCAATAATAACTTCAACACAGGCTGTAAAGCATCTTTTGCTGAGAAATCTCTATCTTTCTTTCCCTGAACAAGCAGGTTTTCAAGTCGGTTCCACCTGCAATATACAGAAGTAAACAAATTCTCAAGTAGTTCAGCACACCATACTATATCAATCACCAATCAACTGTAAGTATAAAGATGGAAACAGTGTGCATGCCTAAACTTCCCATCCTTGAAAAGCAACTCAATCAGAGCATCTCTGAGATATGGGTTTGGATCAGTGAGAAGCCTTTTAGCAAAATACGGGTATGAAGCAGCCAGCACCTTGAAATTAGGATCAGCATAAAGAGCTAGACCTTCTAGTACAGTAAGTGACCTTAATATCAAAGCATAATAAGCTGGGACTGCAAGAAAATTGAAAATCCAAACTATCAGTCTCAATCAGAGAACAGGGTAGAAAACCATATCACTTTTACATTTGTACGACTGACTACAGAATTTCAATACTGACTAGAATGAAAGTTGAGAAATCCGAAAGGAGCGAATATTTAAACTTATCCGGAGGAAGGAATACTGTTAATAAGAGAAATCAAATAGATTTTAAAAAAGAAAAGAGAAAAAAGCGACAATGAGCAATCTTGGATAAGAAGAATGATAAACCAAACACACCAGAATGACAAGACGCAACCCAAGACATTCATTTAGAACTTTGAACTAAAAAATTCCCATCCCATCAGATAAGCCTGCTGTAATTGTATTGATGTATTGCAAAATTATAGCGCTGGGCTTAAAGGTCCATCAACTCACCATTGAATGGATATTGATACAACACAGCACCTAAACCATCCACCAGTGTTTTGAAATTAAGTTCACTCACAGTTGAATTAAGTGCATCATCAAAGAAGTCACGAAGTGCTGGTACAATTGGAGACACATCTACATCAGGTGACAAGAAATCTAGGGCATAGTAATCACGAGCCATAGCTTCATAATCCCGATTAACCATGTGAACAACATGGCCAATGATAGCAAATCTAGCTTCCTCTGGTGTCTCACTCATCATTCCAAAATCAAGAAAGGCAAGCTTCCCTTCAGGTGTTGCCAAGAGATTACCAGGATGAGGATCTGCATGAAAATATCCATACTCAAGTAGCTGTCTGAGGCTGCACTGTATCCCAGTGTTCACGAGATCCAATACTTTCAAGCCTTGTCTCTCAATGGCATCTTGCTCATTTAATTTGACTCCATCAACCCACTCCATTGTCAACACTTTGCCGCTGGTATAATCCCAGAAAATGTCTGGGACCAAAACTTCTTCTTTGTCAGCGTACAATTTCTTAAACCTCCTTGCATTCCGTCCCTCCTGCAGGCACCTGTCAAAATTAACATGCAAACCCAAAAGAATCTTACACAAAATATGAAGCTGCAGTTTTTATACTTGGCACGGTTTAGAAAACGGTACACCACACTAAGGTAGAATGTTTCAAAACAGAAGCCACAGTTACACCATGCATTGTCTTGTCAAGAGCGAAGAATTGTCAACAGAAAATGACTAGTAAAAGAGGCAAGAAAGTCAGTAATTGGGATTTGTGATAAAAGTAAGTCGATGAGAAGACTAACCTGCACATAGTTGAGCTCTTGATAAACTCTACGTGCAAATTCGTCAATAAGGGCCACAACATCAGTGGTTATCACGTCAACATACTTGTTTATGAAAATTCCTAGACCTCTTATGAGATAGAAGTCAAGTCCTATAGCTTCTTCAATGCCTGGGCGTTGCACCTTTACAGCAACAACCTGCCCAGAATACTTCAGTTGAGCTTTGTAGACTTGACCTAAACTAGCTGCTGCAATTGGAGATGGAGATATGGATGAGAAAACGGAGTCAAGAGGTAGTTCCAACTCCCTTTCAATGCAGGAAAATGCTTCTGTATCTGGGAATGTTGGCAACGCATCCTGTTTGGTTGTAAAGGAAGCACAAGTTGTTTTAGCATCTTAGCAATACAGACACACACATGAACAAAATCAGCACAATCCTATTTCAAATTTTCTACAAAACAAAATCACTATTTTTATTTATTTATAAAACTAACTCATGAACCGCGGAAAGTTGAAATATAAAACAGTAGATTATAAATAAATACATACCTGAAGCTCAGAGAGCTCCTCCAAGTACTCAGGCGGACAGACGTCAGGCCTTGTGGACAAGCCCTGACCTAATTTCACAAAAGTAGGCCCCAAACGGGTGAAAATTCTCCTCAGCTCGGCGGCACGGAGTCTTTTATTCTGATTGAGCACGCCATTCCTTTGGTCCACCAACAGCTTCAACCCAAACGACCCCAGTGCTATCAAAATTTTAAGAGTCCTCCGAATTACCTTTTTTAATTATTTTTTTATAACCATACAAATCCATCAGAATTGGACGAGCAAACGATCAACACATGAACACACACAGACCACTCAACAAAAAACCAAACAAATTGGAAACCGAGTGTCATGTCATGCACCTTGACTGGGCGAGACCCGTACTTGCCGACAAGAAGTTGGGGGCTGTAAACGGAGGCATTTGCGGCACGTGCCATGGCCCTTGCTTCGGCCTGAAGATCGTCCGTTCGATCCCCGCCTTGATATATCTGCACCTTCACAGACCCATCATCAATATCTCTGACTCTGAGCGTAGGTGCTGCTCTGGCTTCTGCCTCCACCAGAACTGACCGCGCTGGTCTTACTCTTAGTCTGATGCTGTCCCTTTTGCAATGAGGAAAACTACCCTTTGCCCTCGATGTCCGCCACCACAAAGTTAACGGCTGACCAACAGCAACGACGACAACCATAGCTCTACTTCCAATCTAGATTCAGATTAATTGCAGGAGGACGCACACATGCTAGGCCAGTCCTTAAAAACTCCTGAGTTTCTATCTAATTAGCTTTTATTGTAATTTCTCAAATTTTTTTTTCTTTCTAATTATTGTAACAGTACTGTTTCGTGGCTCCCCAAATATCATATTTTCGGTGTCAAATACCAGCCACACCCGTGGCCTCGCGTGGCGTATTTCGCACCACTATCACTCACCTTTTGCGTATGGCAAACAAAATAGGGAAATGGCCCTCAGTGCCACCCATTTTATAATTTTTTGTCAAAATACCACACATCCCCAAAATTTTTAAAACTACCACCTATAAATATATTTTTATTGTCCACTTATTGCCCACATAACACTTTTCTCTGAAATTGTGTTCTCTCTCTCTCTCTCTCTCTCTCTCTCTTTGAAACCCAGTTCTTCCTCTTCCTCTTTGTTTTTTCTCTACCCAAATGAAGTCTTGCAGCAACAGTAAAAAGGAATTGGGTGAAATCCCCAGTTTTTGAAGTTTCCCAACAAGGCAAAGAAGAACATGTTTACAATTGACAAAGTGGATTTGATAATCTCACCGGTGGGTTCATGGCCCAAACCCCAGATACATCTTAATCAAGACCCCTGACCAAACCCACATGAATGAGATTGTGAAATCTGATACAAGCAAACCTATCCTCCCCATTTTGCTCGCACAGAAATCACCAACGCTTACGCTTTGCACAGAAATGGTGGCTGGCCAGTGCCCATTCTATTTTTGGTCAACATGGAAGGACAAAGTAAACGAATCTTATTCATCATCAGCATCCCCTAGATGGACCAAAAAAAAAAAAAAAAAAAAAAAAAAAAAACACTTATTCCTTTACCCAAATCCTCTTTGTTTCACTATAAACCACAAGAACAGCAATCGTATTGTGATTTTATTGCGGTTGTATTGTAGTCGTATTGCTTTTGTATTGCTATGGTATTGCGGTTGTACTATTTTTGTAATACGACTACAATATAGCAATACCATAGCAATACAAAAGCAATACGACTACAATACAACCGCAATAAAATCACAATACGATTGCTGTTCTTGAAGACCGTAAACCCAGACTTCAAAACCCCCAAAATTGGACCAAAATGCTCAAACAATGGCCACCTAATGCCAACACATGCTGTCATATTCAGAAAAGATGGTTTTGTTTGGGTTTGTTTAGGTTGCAAAAAGGGATTCGAAGAGAGGTAGAAATTAGGGTTTGGATTTGGGTAGAGAAGAAAACAAAGAGTAAGAGGAAGAACTAGGTTTTGAGGGCAAAGCTGTGGGTTTTGCAGGTTGTTCTTGATCTTCTTCTTCGTGAGGAAGACGAAATTGGGGTTTGGATTTGGGTAGAGAAGAAAACAAAGAGGAAGAGGAAGAACTGGGTTTCAGAGAGAGAGAGAGAGAACTAAATTTCAGAAAAAATGTTATGTGGGCAATAAGTGGGCAATGAAAATGTATTTATAGGTGGTAGTTTTAAAATTTTTGGGGAGGTGTGGTATTTTGACAAAAAATTATAAAATGGGTGGCACTGAGGGCCATTTCCCTATATTTTGAGTATAAGCGACTGATTGAAGGAGGGCGCTTACCCTTAATTGACTTTTTGGGTTTCGAAACACTGCCAAGATGAGCTGAGTTATACTCACGGGCTATTTTCAAAATATTAGACGTGTCACTTGAGACTAATTTCACTAAAATTTGCTAAGGGTATTAAAGTAATTGTTAGATATAAAACTGTAAACCTCCAAACATAATTTCACCACCACTAATTAATTAATGGGGTTTTATTATTTTAGGTTCGACCCATTCGAGACGCAAGTCTCTTAATTACAATCCCTTGCTACAAGGGAAAACCCTTTGATTCCATCATAAAGAAACAGAATGTATGTGTTTGGTTTTGCGGCTGCTCCCAAGTTCAACCTCAGGGTGCCTACGTATCCTTTACGGGAATCAAGCCACTCGTAGTTCAAAGATTCGCAATGAATAGATGACTCATTGCAAAAAGGGGGAATTTGAATGAATTCGATTGAGGGGTGTTTGAGTGAATTTAGCTGAATAAACCAGGGATTCGATATGGAGTTGTGTTTGGGGTGGTTGCATCTAGATTGAATCTCTAGATTGCCTACGTACCCTTTCAAAAGGATCAAACCAACGTAGTTCAGAAGTGATTTGTGTAAAGATTTGATTGGTGAGAATTTGGTTGCGGTAACCAGTGATTTAAATTTGGTTGCGGTTGCGTCTATTGGGATGTTAGACTGCCTACGTACCCTTGATGGGATCAAACCGACGTAGTTCCAAATGGATTTGTGTGGAGATTTGATTAGTGAGAATTTGGTTGTGGTTGCGTCTATTGGGATGCTAGACTGCCTACGTACCCTTGATGGGATCAAACCAGCGTAGTTCCAAATGGATTAATAGGCAAGTGTGGCCCAATAATTTAGAGTTGGTGTCTTTGAAACAATTTGAAGATTTTCATAGGTAGATGACCTATTGGAAATTAATGGGTAAGTGTGGCCCAATAATTTAGAATTTGTGTTTGAGATATTTGAATTTAATCTCATTAGAATTTTCATGAGTAGATGACCCACGAGAAAAAATTAGAAATTAATGGGTAAGTGTGACCCAATAATTTAGAATTTGTATCTTTGAGATAATTTGGGGATTTTCATAGGTAGATGACCTATGGGAAAAATTGAAAATTAATGGGTAAGTGTGGCCCACTAATTGAGAATTTGTGTTCGAGATATTTGAATTTAATCTCATTGGAATTTTCATGAGTAGATGACTCACGAGAAAAACTGGAAATTAATGGATGAGTGTGGACAAATTTGGTTAGGATAAAACCAGGGATTCAAATTTAGTTGCGGTTGCGTCTATTGGGATGTTAGACTGCCTACGTACCCTTGATGGGATCAAACCAACGTAGTTCCAAAGTTTTTGGACCTTCAAAGGGTAAATGACCCTTTGAAAGAATTTTATGTTTGAGAAATTTGAATTTTGATCTCATTGAAAATTTGCAGGGTAGATGACCCATGAGAAAATGTGGAATGGTTTTGTACCATTTTTATTGTTAAAGTCCAAAGAAAATTAAAAGGCATTTTGATGAGCCAATTAATTTACTCACATATGGTTTTAAGGATTAATCCATTAACCACATAATTTATTTGGACCACCCATAAAATATTTTGGGCTTTTGAGAGTCAATGGGTAATTTGTTTTGTCAACCCATCAATTTGTTTCCGGGCCTTGATATTTCCATCAGTTGGCCCATAAACAAAGAATCCATGTCAGAAAAGCTTTGAGAACCAGTTGAATTTTGAAACCGATATCTATTTGGAGTAGTAGAGATTAATCCAAACTGAGTCACTCCCATCTTTATCTGGAGTAGTTCAAATCAATTATAACTGGACCAAATTATATATCTCTTCAACTACTCATCTGCCACAATTAATACAGAGCCTTGAGTCGGAGACGCCAAAACCAAGGCAAGACCTTTCTTTTGCTCATGTCTGTCAAAGCAGACCATGTAGTCCACTAAACATGAATTGAAAGTCATCCCAGGCGTCATTCACTTTGCTTTGGCAGGTTTCTTTTATTTTATTTTTGTCTTAATCCCCTCTCTTTGCTTTTCGTTTCTTTTCTTCTTATTTGCTTTTCGTCACTTTTCTCTTTCAGCTTCTGGGACTTCTTCAACTTTTAGGCTTCTTTGTCTTTGGCTTATGTTGCTTTTGGATTCTTCAACAGCCACAACACAGGAGGTTTCTTGGTGAGCCATTTTTCCTTTTGCTTTTTGCTTGCTGAAGCTTTGTGCATCCTTTTCTTTCCAATTTGATTGGAGTTTCTAAGGCTTTACATATTTTCCTTTGCAGACTCATATCATTTGAGAGGACCATCGTACTGCCAATTGAGGTGCTGGCTTTGCTTTGTCTCAGTTGCTTCATATTTTGCCAGCAACAAAGTGAGTAGCTTTTATGATATTTGCATTTTGCCACAGAGGAGTGTTGGCTTAATAATTTTCGTGGGCTGTCCGGCTTGGGATTTTTTCTTTGTTGGCAAATTTTGAAGCACAGAACGTGGGTGTGATTCATCGGCTCTTGTAAGCTTTCTGGCACTCAGTAATTTCTGCATCTCCTTTAATATATTTTCTTCTGTTTATGCCAATGGGTGAGACTAAAACAGAGTTATTGATTTTCTCCATTTGCAGCACGTTTTGCCACCTGTTCTTTCTCCAATTTGCAGATTTGGAATTTTACTCTGCTGAAGGTGGGTTGGGCATGTAATAAAACGTCTGGACTGTTGATGTTTTCTGTTTTTGGTACTCAAGAACACTCGCAAGGTCTTCTCTGAGTACCACAATGTGCCTGTGGACACTCACAAGGTGTTCACAGCACTTGTACAGTGGGGTTCTTGCGGAAGCCCATCTGTAATTCACAACAGAGAGGTCCTTGTGAGAGCTCTCTTTGTGTAAGTAGCACAATTATTGCCAATTTGGGAGGATTTGTTCATGTTTTTCCACTGCTGAGGTCTTTGTTGATATGATACACTTCTTGGTATCGAACATGGAGGAAGTTCAGGCTTCTGTACAATGGCCTCACATACATATTTTTTTGCCTGCAAGTCAGTTGTACATAAAAGGATACTCAGATGAATTTTTTTATACCTTCTCAATGGTATTGTGACAAAGCTTCGTATCTCTTTTGCCTGCTTCTATTCTTTTGATTTCTGCAGCAGTTCGATGTCTTTTCCTCCTTCTCCCCTCTTTGCCTCCTTTGGTTCCTTTTTATAGACCCAGAAGAACTGATAGAGTGGAGCCAGTTATGGCCTCACGTACTGCGTGGGTGGGAATAACTTCCCATTTTCACTCACCCCCTCAACTCCACACTTCAAAGTCACGTACATGAAACTGTTTCTGCTTTCAATATATTAATATTTCCTTGTAAAAAATATCAATATTAATTCATTTGGGCCTAAACCAATTTAGTAACAAGTCCACAGAATCATTTTTAGCTATGGGCCCGACTTCTTTAAACTTGGCCAATATTTAATTTGCTGTCAATGAATTTTTTTATTTCAACAGTAATTAACATAAAACAATAGAGAGCGTGAAAAAAATATTATTAATCAAGGATTTGGTCAAGTATTAGTGGCATAGCTGTAGAATTTACATATTCTTCTAAGGGTTAGTTTGACATTGCTGTGTTGTGAAAATAATTGTTGTTAAATTTACTGTGAGAGAAATCAACTGTAAGAGAAAGTTGTTTGGCATTTGGTAAACATTTTGTTAAATGTGTTGTTGGTACAATAATCAGTTTATGAGCGTTTGGTAAATTTTTGTGTTAAAGTGTTGTGTGATGTGTATAATGAATAAAAAGCACATAATATTTAAATGGCTTTGTTGTTCAAGCGTTGTTAATGGACCATATCGCCAAGCCTATAGTATGGCACCACGTGGTCAACAAAGTAGATACCCCCGTATGCCGACTCGACCTGACTCGCTGCGATGAGTCATTACCTTAAAAGCAAACCAACTGACCCAACCAGATCATAGGCCCTACTAGACCAAGGTCTGCTAGATGGCGTCTGCTCACGGTCAAAACCACCTGAGCCATATGCTTGGGCAGAATCTCCCAAGATCCCCCTCAGTCGAACTTGAGGAGCAAATCAAGGTGACTAGAGAATCTAGGGAAGATCGCCTCTATGATCAAGTTAATCCACGCGGGTGTCAAGACATGACTGAAAGGGAGCACTTAATGCACTTCAAATCCAATCCAGGTGTCGTTCCACTAAAAGGGAGATAGTTTGCAAGGGCCATCTGCTTAGGACTTGTTGAACTCCTTTGCTCGTCCTGACCCGAGTCAGGGCCCTAGTCAACCAGGGGAACCACACTCCCAATTAACATATGGTGCCGTCTATGACAATTGTTGCTGATAGAAGTCGCATCCCCTCTCCCAACTGAGTCCCAACGTGAGCAAAACTGAGCTATGTTGAATCAACATATTAGAAAGAATGCTTTCTCGGGTTCTGCCTAGAGAAAAGCCCATAGAAGAAAGAAGGAAAGACATTAAATGGATCGCCTCAATAGCCTGGAGGACAGGATTAGCCAAATCCTGAGGGCGTAAAAGACGTCCAAAATCTCAACAATAGCCTTCGCGCGTAGAACGAAATACTACAAGAAAGTCACGCCAACCTAGTAAAAAAGGTAGACTCATGACAAAAGAACGACCAAAAGCAGGTTGGCAACGAGGATGCTAGCGAAGCCTCGTTTGAGTCAATAGAGACTGAGGTACCAAGGCGAGAAACGACTGACTCAAGAGCCATACTGGAGGAAAAAAGAGCCTGGCGGGAGCGTAACCAATGCCTGGTAGAAAACTTATAGAATGAGAAAACCACGACAGGCACAAGCGAAGTCGAGGAGGATGTCGGTGGCATCACCTCCATGCTAAAGGACTTAGTCACTGACGAACTAAGAAGTGTGTGGGATCAGCTCAGACATGTGGAGAAATAAAAAATGCCCAGAAGGCCGGAGTTAATCGAGGAAGAAATCCCCTTGCCCTATACTTGACTTACTGAAGACTAGGGTGGTGGGAGATTCAAAGGCCCCAAAAATCCCCTTATATACGATGGAATGACCGAACCATACGACTACATGGATAATTTCCGTAATGCCATGAAAGAACGAGAGGCAAATGAGGTAACCAAGTGCCGCCTGTTCCCAACAACGCTCAAAAGCCCTGCCACAAGCTGGTTCCAGCGACTCACTCCAGAATCAATTGGTTCTTTTGCCGAACTAAGAGAGGTTTTCATGGATCGATATATGATCATTTTTGATCAGCTATACACCACGAACGACTTCTCAGTGGTCAGACAATGACCCGACAAGAAACTCCTGGATTACATCACCTGATTCAACAACGAGTATGCACGATGTGAAGGTTGCGACGAGGCAATGATACATAATGCCCTAATGAGAGGACTTCAAGTTGGGGACTTCTTCTTTTCCCTTAATAAGACCCCATGAAACATACAAGGATCTTCTTCACGAGGCTATTAGCTATTCAAGAGTTGAGCAGCTGAACTTGGCAAGGAAGGGGATTGCAAGGCCAAATCCCAAAGCACTAGAGCGATATCGACCCAAGGAGAAGAGGTCCAACGACTATGCATATGACTTATTAGCGAAAAGAAAGAAAGAAGAGGTCCGACCCGAGAAGCATAATCAATACAACAACTATAACCCCTGAACAAACCCAAAGGAGAGATCTTCGCAGTGATAACCAATGAGCTCCCCAGCCCAAGGAAAATAAGGTAACTATACCAAGGAAGGAGAGACTACAACAAGTATTGCAAATATCACCGCGATTATGGCCACCATATTGACGACTACTACCAGCTCAAAGAAGAAATCAAAGCCTTAATCAGGTGAGGAAGTTGAAGGAGAGTGTGACAGGACATGCCATCCCTGCCAATGACCACACACAGATGGACAAGAGTGGCCAATTTAATTGGAAAAAAAATGAGAATTCAAATTAGAGATTGAGGATTCAAAGGGACACAAAATATCTACTAAAATATAAATGAAAAAAACTGAACCGATTCAACAATAACTGTCTACACTGTGAGTTAAGGTTGACTGTGGCAAATGCTCGAAGTGGCCAATTGAATTGGAAAAAGTATGAGAATTCAAATTAGAATTTGAGGATTTGAATGGACACAAAAGATTTGCAAAAAAACGTTAATGAAAAATACTGAACTGACTCAACAATACCTGTTTGTGCCTTGAGCTAGGGTTGAATGTGGCAAAGGCTAGGAGTGGCCAATTTAATTGGGAAAAAAAATTGAGAATTGAAATTAGAGATTGAGGATTCAAATGGATACAAAAGATTTGCTAAAACGTAAATGTAAAAAACTGAATTGACTCAACAATACCTGTCTGTACCGTGAGCTGGGGTTGGATGTGACAAAGGCTAGGAGTGGCTAATTGGACCGGAAAAAGCATGAGAATTCAAATTAGAGATTGAGGATTCGAAGGAACATAAAAGATATGCAAAAACATAAATGATACAAACTGAACCGATTCAACAATACCTGTCTGTACTGTGAGTTAAGGTTGGCTGAGACAAAGGCTAGGAGTGGCCAATTAGATTGGAAAAAGTTTGGGAATTGAAATTAGAGATTGATGATTCGAAGGAACACAAAAGATCTGCTAAAAAAAGTAAATGAAAAAAACTGAACCGACTCAACAATACTGGTTTGTACCTCGAGCTAGGGTTGACGGTGGGAAATGCTAGGAGTGGCCAATTTGATTGGAAAAAGTATGAGAATTCAAATTAGAGATTGTGGATTCGAATGCACACAAAAGATCTGCTAAAAACATAAATGATACAAACTAAACCGATTCAACAATACTCGTTTGTACCTTAATTGGTTTATTTCCAACTAAATTGGCCACTCCTGGCCTTATCAGAAAAATTACGGGTAAGATGTTACGTTTTCAGATATATAAGAACTTTACACTATAACTTACCGGTAAGATATTGTGTTTTTAGAAAAATAGGCAATTAACTCAACAAATTACGGGTAAGATGTTGCGTTCTCATATATATAGCCATTTTACACTATAACTTACCGGTAAGATATGGTGTTTAAAGAAAAATAGGCAATTTACTCAATAAAGTACGGGTAAGATATTGCGTTCTCAGATATATACGCATTTTACACTATAACATACTGGTAAGATAAGGAGTTTTAAGAAAAATAGTATTTTCACTAAATAAATTCCGAGTAAGATATTGTGTTATCATATATATATATATATATGCATTTTACACTATAACTTACCGGTAAGATATTTTATTTTTAGAAACATAGGCTATTTACTCAATAAATTACGAGTAAGATGTTGCGTTCTTGGATATATTGGCACTTTACACTATAACTTACTAGTAATATATGGTGTTTTCAGAAAAATATGCAATTGACTCAATAAATTATGAGTAAGATATTGCGTTCTCAGATATATATGCATTTTACACTATAACATACTGGTAAGAAAAAGAGTTTTAAGAAAAATAGTATTTTCACTAAATAAATTCCGAGTAAGATATTGCGTTATCAGATATATATATATATATATGCATTTTACACTATAACTTACCGGTAAGATATTTTGTTTTTAGAAACATAGGCTATTTACACAATCAATCACGGGTAAGATGTTGCATTCTCGGATATATTGGCACTTTACACTATAACTTACTGGTAAGATATGGTGTTTTCAGAAAAATAGGCAATTTACCCAATAAATTAAGGGTAAGATGTTGTGTTCTCAGATGTATAGGCGTTTTACACTATAACTTACCGGTAAGATATGATGTTTTAAGAAAAATAGTCTTTTCACTCAATAAATTCCGAGTAAGATATTGCATTCTCAGATATATATGCATTTTATACTATAACTTACCGGTAAGATATTGTGTTTTTAGAAAAATAGGTTATTTACTCAATAAATTACGGGTAAGATGTTACGTTCTCAGATATATATGCACATTACATTACAACTTATAGGTAAGATTGGGTGTTTTCAGAAAAATAGTATTTTCACTCAATAAATTGGGGTAAGATGTTGTGTTATCAGATATATAGGCATTTTACACAACAACTTACCGATAAGATATGGTGTGTTTAGAAAAATTGGCTATTTACTCAATAAATTACGGGTAAAATGTTGAGTTCTTAGATATATAGATACTTTACACTATAATTTACCGGTAATATAGGGAGTTTTAAGATAAATAGTCATTTCATTAAATAAATTATGAGTAAGATATTGCGTTCTTAGATATATATATATATATATATATGTGCATTTTACACAATAACTTAATGCTAAGATATTTGTTTTTAGAAAAATAGGCTATTTACACAACAAATTACGGGTAAGATGTTGCGTTCTCGGATATATATGCACTTTACACTATAACTTACTGGTAAGATATGGTGTTTTCAGAAAAATAGGCAATTTACTCAATAAATTACAGGTAAGATGTTGCGTTCTCAGATATATAGGCGTTTTACACTATAACTTACCGGTAAGATATGATGTTTTAAGAAAAATAGTCTTTTCACTCAATAAATTCCGAGTAAGATATTGGGTCCTCAGATATACATGCATTTTACACTATAACTTACCGGTAAGATATTGTGGTTTTAGAAAAACATGCTATTTAATCAATAAATTACGAGTAAGATGTTGCGTTCTCAGATATATAGGAACCTTACATTATAACTTACCGGTAAGATTATTGTGTTTTTAGAAAAATAGGTTATTTACTCAATAAATTACGGGTAAGATGTTGCGTTCTCAGATATATAGATATTTTACACAATAACTTACCGATAAGATATGGTGTTTTTAGAAAAATTGGTTATTTACTCAATAAATTACGGGTAAAATGTTGAGTTCTTAGATATATAGGTACTTTACACTATAATTTACCGGTAAGATTTGGTGTTTTCAGAAAAAATAGGCAATTCACTTATTAAATTACGAGTAAGATATTGCGTTCTCAGATATATATATGAATTTCACACTATAACTTACGGGTAAGATACGGTGTTTTTAGAAAAATAGGCAATTCACTCAATAAATTACGGGTAAGATGTTGCGTTATCAGATATACATAAATTTTACACTATAACTTAACGGTAAGATATGATGCTTTTAGAAAAATAAGTTACTTACCAAATAAATTACGGGGAAGATGTTGCATTCTTAGATACATATAGGCACTTTACACTATAATTTGCCGGTAAGATTAAAAATTCAATAAATTACAGGTAAGATGTTGCGTTCTCAGATATATAGGAACTTTACACAACAACTTACTGGTAAGATATGGTGTTTTAAGAAAAATAAGTTATTTACTAAATAAATTACGAGCAATATGTTGCGTTCTAAGATATATAGTGATTTTACACAATAACTTGGCGGTAAGATATGATGTTTCTAAAAAAATAGGCTATTTACTCAACAAATTACGGGTAATATGTTGCGTTATCAGATATATAGGCACTTTACACTATAACTTACCGGTAAGATATGGTGTTTTCAGAAAAATAGTATTTTCACTCAATAAATTAAGGGTAAGATGTTCCGTTCTTAGATATGTAGGCACTTTACACTTTAACTTACCAGTAAGATATGGTGTTTTCAGAAAAATAGTCTTTTCACTCAATAAATTACGGGTAAGATGTTTCGTTTTCAGACATATACACATTTTACACTATAACTTACCGGTAAGATATAGTGTTTTTAGAAAAATGGGCTATTTGCTGAATAAATTACGGGTAAGATGTCGCGTTCTTAGATATATTGGCACTTTACACCGTAACTTAGATGTAAGACATGGTGTTTTCAGAAAAATAGTCATTTCGCTCAATAAATTACGGGTAAGATGTTGCGTTCTCATATATATCGGCGTTTTACACTATAACTTACCGGTAAGATATGGTGTTTTTAGAAAAATAGGCTATTTACTCAATGAATTATAGGCAAGATGTTGCGTTACCAGATATATAGGCTCTTTGCACTATAACTTACCGGTAAGATCTGGTGTTTTCAGAAAAATAGTCTTTTTACTCAATAAATTACGGGTAAGATGTTGCGTTCTCAGATATATATAGGCGTTTTACACTATAACTTACCGGTAAAATATGGTGTTTTCAGAAAAATAGTCTTTTCACTCAATAAATTCCGAGTAAGATATTGGGTTCTCAGATATACATGCATTTTACACTATAACTTTCCGGTAAGATATTGTGGTTTTAGAAAAATAGGCTATTTAATCAATAAATTACGAGTAAGATGTTGCGTTCACAGATATATAGGAACCTTACACTATAACTTACCGGTAAGATATTGTGTTTTTAGAAAA